GAGAGGGAGGGGGTAAATGGTCTTGATGCACGACTTAGAACACAAAGTTTAAGCTGAATCCAAAAATATTCATATATTATTATTCATACAGTATTATATTATCTTTGATATCAATTTATTGACATTGGCAGGACCAATGTGTACTAGAAATTTGAATATGACGAACCTTCAAAACCGTATTAATCATGGACTTATACTTTTGTAAGCCCGTGATTATTAAGAGTTTCATTGTTTTATCTTGCGGGATTTGTTCACAGAGTAAATTTCAGAAATGTGAATTTCATTAAAGGGAGAATCAGATATAAGGGGATTGGAGAGCGAGGTGGGGGTACAATGATGTAAACAAAGGTGCATCCCCTCCATAAATAGGGCAACCGAGGCCTATAAAATGCTAATCACTGTTTCTGGTTGCTAATCCGTATATCTGGTTCTTTTGTATGATAAGTTATCACTTTTATTTATGAGATACATCTTAAATATTCAAAACAAAACATTATCACTATGGTGCTAAACCTGTATTTTCAGTATTTTTGCTAATTGTGATGAGAAGTATGTTCAAATGAATATGAATACAGTACAAAATCTATAATAGAAAAATAAGATATTTTTAATTTGTTGAAATGATATCATGAATTTGAGCTATTACCCTTCGATAAAACAAAATGGGTACAATCAAGTGCAAATTCAAACTTTAAATAGATTTAATTCCCTTTTAATTGTCGATTTTTGTTATCTTATAACATTTTACACATTTCAAAGTTGTAAACAGGCAACATTTTAGTTGCTATTTATAATGTACTCGTAATTACATTTTAATAGACGTACACTCAAAATAAATTAAATTAAATTCTCAAAACTATAAATAGCATATTATCTGATTGTATTTAAAAAATGTCCTATTTAGTATAATATCTTTATATTTGACATTAACAATTTGGTCGTGGGGGTTTGCTACAGCAGGTTATAGTGTCCCGTTAAAATGTTTTCTCCAGAAATATCTTTGGCGGGTAAACGGGATAATTTCATTGGCTGTTCAAAATGATTGACAGACCACCAACGTCTTTGGTTTCAAACTTTGAAATGATGAAGTTTAAGCAGTTCTAGCTAGTATGAAAAAATAAACACGGGTTCTATTTCAAGCAGTCAGATAATATTAATATTATTGATATTAATTTGCGTCATGTAAGCATATCGTATTTATTAAAATCAAGGCCGTTCCTCTTAGCAAAACCCAAGTGACTTTAGGTCAAGACGTTTCCTTGGAAACCCACGAGAAACCTAGATCCCAAATGGTGGTTCCTCAAGTGATGATGACGTCAAGAGTCCGGAGTTGTTAAAGTGGGGACCGTCTCAGTTATAAAACTGCAGAATGCGTTCATTTTATTTAAATTCTGTATTTCATGAATTGTAGGTTTGTACTTTATCCGAGTCGAGTCGTAGATCTCGAAACATTAAGAGTTATGCCATTCTATGATTTCCTATCTGGACAATTGACAGTTTTCAGTCAAAATAAGTAAGTAATACGTTTTCGAAGTGTACCAAAATGCTCTCGGAAATATCTAGTATCTTTTTCAAGAATATTCCCCACCTATCTATAAATTAAATTCAGAATTCAGCTCTCACACAACATGAACGTGACTGCACTGAGATACCTAACACTATTAACACGTTATCGTATGTTCTCAAGGGTCAAAGTGACCGCTGGCAAAATACAAATGAAAGTAACATTATATAAGTCAATTACAGGTATGATCATTAGATACATTGACTGTCGTTCAACTTTGACCAATCTCATTTTCTTTTCTTTTGAATTACAAGCAATTCGACATAAGAGTTGGCGAAACTGGTAGTGTAAATTAAGAATACCTGGAGATGAGGCTAATTACTAAATCATTTATACTGTGTGAGTTTGATACCACCCCCATGTCTGCAGCTTGAATACTGCAGACTATGCGGTACTAGCTCTTACCAGAATCAAGAATAGATCTTAGTTTAGTTTCCACATCTTGCAAAATCAATTCTTTAGTTTCAAACTCTCAAATGATGTTTCTGGCTCTTCTTGTTTGAACATCATTTACGTTGACTAGTTCACTTGTTTTCACACTATATATGAGGACCGTTAGCATTCTTTGATTGAATCTGGAGTTTCGTCCGTTCAATTTGGAGTTCTTCTTACAAAGGGCCCTATGTAAACGCTACTAGCATGTTGTACCAGGGAGCCTGAACGTCATCCAAACACATACTACACTCGAGCTTACGATCTCAAACTACATTACTTAGAAACTGGTACTGGAATTGCACTTAATGGAGAACATAACCAACCGGAACAGTTTATGATTTGGAATACAGGACTGACTCACATTCTATGACACCTTTCCAGGAAAAATTATGAAAAAATGGAAAACTTAACGAATATAACTATTTGGGAATATAAGTTTTAGTACATGCACTAGTACTCCGTTAGATTGACTCATTTATCTCTCTAAACAGTTTGTGTAATTATAATGGCTAAAAGTAGCGATCATGAAGAAGTTTAAGGCCCATGGAAGCAATGCGTGGAATCTCAGTATTATGGACCTTTTAATGATGCAATATTATGCAAATATTTCAGCAATGCAAAAATGCAAAAATTGAGTTTGAAATTATTAATGGGATTTTCACGGCACAAAAAATTGAATGTTAAATGAGCATTTCTCGGATTTAGTAATGAGAACTAGTGTTTGATTGATGTAAATTGCATATCTTATAAATAACTCAGGAATGGAGAACAATACAGCTTGCGGTAAAAGCATCTCTTTGAAAGAACATACGGATTATTACCATAGCAACCAATTATTTCTATAGCAACACTGTCAATGGGAGTGATAAATAGAAAGGAACTAGGATCAGGAAGTAAGTATTTTAACAAATTGATATTTCGATTAGTTTTAATAATTGAACGAAGCGAATCGAAGGCAATACTCATATTATATATTTTATAGACCTCTGCCCCGTGCCCCCCCCCCCCATGTCGTCTTCTTTACAGAGTTCTTTGTCGAGAAGCTAAGGGAGCCCTTGTGGCCTTGGCTTTATTTTTTATTGTTATTGGCAATTTTTCGAGAACTTCTGATCCGGAGTGTTGCCAAATAGTCATTCAGCCTGACTACTGCAGCAGCAAGGTCGACTGGGGGTCGGTTATGACTTTTGCCTTCAGTTCCAATAGCTACACCTAGGTGAACGACTCAGCTGGAAGAAGACCGTTGCAAGTGCAAGTTAAAATAAGGCCTCTGCAGATTAATTGTTTGTGTAGCAACGCGGGTGACCAGTGTTTTATTTTTCCTATAGCAAAAGGACAAGTTCCTCAAAAGACGACATGGTCTAATCGTGAAAACCATGGCTTTCTATTAGCTTCTTTCTCGAAGGCCATGGATCATATTCCATAAAGCAGAGCGATGTGTTATGAGTATCAGAATGAGAATTCGAATGTCTCTGTGATTGTGATTGTGAAGTTAAAACATATGTTTTTAGAAAGGTGCATTTTAAAGTGTTCAGAATGTAACGTAAAACGGATAAAAATTTCAGAAAATAGTTATAGCTGACGTATTTTATAACTTTTGAAAGTTTACGTTCTAGTTCCATACAATTCTCAGTTTCACTTCTGAGTCACCCACGGGCACGGATTCCTTGGGCATCATACTCCAAGTCCAACTATAATCTAATATTCTATTCCTGTTGTCGGCAACTGAGAATTACAAACTGTCATCAAATAAGTGTGATCACTGGACCGTAAATGTTGATCTGATGGGGGGGGGGGTGGTTAGGCCTACCTGCCCCATAAGTTTGATCTGAGTACTCCATGCATGATGGATATAACAGAATTATTTTTTTTTTACATTGTTAAAAGTTATCTTTCTAAATTTAAATTATAGAAAAATATAAGAGGTCGGAGGGATAACCCCCAGGGTGTTGAATTACTCCCCGTGACACGATATGACAACCCCGGGATGACAACACCCTGGAACTTATGATAAAATCGATAATACATTGATTTTTTAGAATAGGTTCTTATAATCGTCTAATATTTACTGAATATATTATGAAAGAAGTCTCCACGGACAAAGTATTGTGATTGAAATATGAATCCGTCCCCAGCATCACGTTCGCTCAGAATGATCGGTCCCTCCTTGCTGTATCAATTAAAATAGTATGACGGCAGGTCAACCGAAACGATTTGAACACGATATGACTTACACAGGTGTATAACATATGGAATACCTCCTAAACGATATATAAGGTCATATTCAAACACATCGGCAATCTGATGTACGGTTTCAAACAAAACGTGTCCCAAAAAGATAAAAATACAATTCAAGTTTCGAGACTAGGGTCAAAGTAGGTCAATGGATGAGGAGAGATAAAGTTTTCGAAAGTCGGTATAAGTTACATTTATTGGATTTAGGACAATCTGTGGATTTATGGACATATTCAACGTTGTTGGACACACTAGGAATTCGATTGACTTTATTATATCGAAGTTTCAGGGAACAAAAATAAACGAAAAGGGAGAAATATCGTGTTATCCTCAGATAATGTTTTGCATGTACAAAAACCTGGCAGTGGCAGGGCATTCAATGAGAATATGAGATTATTTTTAATTGGGATGAACTAATAATGTCGCTGTGACTCCCCAGATATTTTTTACTGATTAATACAAAATAAATGGATTAATTTTATTTGGACTTTATATAGTCTAGTCTTTATACCAAGGCTGAACACGATAATACATGTACATGTAGCCGATATGTACTGCCTATTGTTAAACTGACCAATCTTCTTGCATATCAGATGATTGGTGTATCAATACAAGAGCAGACTTACAAAGAGTGCAACACTACTTCACTGTTATTTTGATTTCAAGTTTCGGCTAGATACTCCCTATCAAAACTTCAATTTGATTCAGAATTGAATGTGAAATAAATTGGATATTTTCTTGAATTGGAAGGTGTTCACATATAAACAACTATACATTTTTATGGAGAGAAAAGTTTTTTATATGGATGTCAAAAGAGCCATGTGTAAACACGTAAAGTTTGATGTTTTAATAATGATCAAAAACTTTCGAAAGGTCAGATAAGCCATGAGTTCTTCATATTAGCGTGCATGTATTTAATACTGATCAAACTTTCTTGCAAGAATCAATAGTTCAGTTGATGACTTATTATAGTAACTAACTAGTCCTATTTAACTTGTATCGATTTTGAATTGGATCATTGTGGATCATTGGCTCCATGTGTACAGAACTATTCAGTAAGGCCCACTGGGAAACAATGTAAAGTGTTGAATCAAGGCCAGGGACCATTCAAAGCCCAACAGAACCCACTCTAAGGACTATAGGAGTAGAACAAGGAGTTCACGATTTCTGCGTCCCTAATGGGAACTAAGCTCTGACATTGAGCTAATTCAGGATATGTAAACAACGTTCATCAGGTTCCTGACCGATATTCTGACAGTTTCATTCAAAAATTTGAATTAAGAATTCACACATAGTGAACTCTAAATACCAAATGAATAGTGGAAGTAATTCGAGATCAAAGACTAGTGAATTGATATCCTAGTGGATTTAACATACAGAGCGTCCATCAGTATATATATTTCACATTGGATTAGAAAATAGCCAACTGGTGCCGTTAATGTCCTACCTGGATTTCCATTGGATCCTAATGTAGATAATATGCCATCAAACGGATCAAAACTATTATTGGATAACTAATTGCCGTAATGGCTTATGAGTGGGTTTGATGCTAGATTAGAACGAACTTTACTATATCCAGATGTTGAGAAGTTACAAATAGAAATGCAGGAATTATTTGGGAATTGCTATTTTCTGCATCAGAGGATACACACGTGAGAAACCCCACAGATGAAATTTCATATTTTCACGTCATGGTAGTTATGTCTTAAAATTAACTTGAGAGGAATTTCCAAAGAATGAATTTAATTTTGATTGCTCTAAAAAACTCGATATCTTATCCAGATAATTATACAGGATTTTTTTTACTTTTTGCATGGAGAGAAAAGAGAGGCTTGGTATTAAACTATTTTAGTTCCTATAAATCAGACCAATGCTTTCAATGCTACAATCATATTTCGATTATTTTATTTCATTTTTTATACAATTTAAAGTAGACTACTTCACATGATTTGCTTTCATTTTTTGATATTAACTCCTGCTATTAATTACTTTCAACTCAGTCAAACTTGAGTTTTTAATATAAACATTTCTATTTCAAATTTTCTGTAGAATATCTCAAGTATTCGTGACAATTAAATTCATCTTTCAAATTCATTCTTTGTTATTGGTTTCTTTTCTATTGAGAGGGTGCAGCGTAGTATGGAATATAAAGGGTAAATACTTCAATATGAGTGAATATTGAATAAGAATATTAGTAAATAAATATGTAATATGTTGCCACTGAATATAATAATATGAGGGTCTGGAAATAAGGAATATTGCATATGAATACCAAAGGTTAAAAGATATTAGATTTATCTGAAAAAGTTGAAAATATGAAAAAGAAGTATGTAAAATATGAACCTGTCCACCCATGCTGCACTCCTCCCCCTATAACATTCCTATTGAAGACATTAAGACATGACCACCATTATATTATACATACACCCCCTCCATAAGTTTGGCAACTGAAAATCATCATTACATGACCACCATTACATTATACATACACCCCCCTCCATAAGTTTGGCAACTGGAAATCATCATAACATGACCACCATTACATTATACATACACCCCCTCCATAAGTTTGTCAACTGGAAATCATCATTTAATAGCATGTTAGAGCCTGATAATGGATGAATCTTAAATTTGTTTCTTTATTACCATAATTTTAGAAATTTATAACTTTGAATTTAAAATGCCAATCATAAACAGGTATAAACTTGTGATTCATGAGTGAAATGGACTTCCCAATGCCAAACTTATTTAGGGGGATGTATATGTATAGATGCACTGATACAGGTAAAGAATGGTATAAGATACCTCTGTTGTGAACCTTCCCCTAATGGTTGTTGTATTATGAACATGTCGAACCAAGGCTACAAAGTAATGTCAGAGAAAGTGCAAACATGGGGGAATATATCAAGATTGCAATATGTAAAGAATGAATGAGATCATTTTGATTTGTTCTGGGAGGAAGTGGGGGGAGGGGGTATAATGAGAGCGTAAGATAGCCATGTTTGTTAAAGGGAATGTGGATGATGATACCCTTTGCATTCGTTTGACTTCACTTCTTAAAAGAGAGCTTCGTCTTCACTCTTTCAAACTAAAATAAACCTGTGAACTCACCGCGCCAATCAGTGTTCGTCGGCCAAAATTGACCGACGTCCTATATATGGTCATTCCTTCTGACGTCATCGTTGAGCCCGGAATTGACCAATGACATGCGCATATTTAATTAGAACGCATCTTTGCGTTGTTTCTTCAAGCTCGCTGACTGGTGGAAGAAAGGTCAGCGCGTAGGTCAAAAATTATTTATTACACAAACTGTCACCGGTACCCGTCGTGGGGGCGGGGCTACTAAACTGTGATATGGTCTCTACAAGGCAGAGTGTAGTTTAACTAGACTCTGCACGCAGGGTAGGATGATGATTGAGGTAATATTTCTTTATTCTATAAGGAGGGCTGGGGTGAAATTGTGCTATATTTGGGATTATCAAATTAAATAATGAATTATTGAAATTTAGACAAATAATATTTGAGGTCATCTTGTTTGTTCTTGGGAAGGGGTGGAGTATAAGTTAGATAAGTAAAGCTGAAGTATATTATTTGAGAAGTCATATCAATTTATATGTGTTATCTCACATTCATATTTGGGCAAATTATTTATTCTTTTAAATTGAGGGGTAAGAGGGGAAAATATTGGTATTTTGACACAACCCCTTGTGTTATCATGTAAATAGTGTTATCATGTAAATAGTGTTATCATGTAAATAGTGTTATCATAGAAACCCTTAAAGAGAATGAAATATTTTCAACTTGCCAATGACAATGATACTTAATTCTGCAAATATTTAATTGTGATAATTCTGATTCTTAAAATGAATTTTCTTGAGTGCCAGAGGATGGTTGATTAAAAAAGACAAAGCTCCCTTTAAAGAGACAGAATCAAGCTATTGGTAATTTTTAAAATTTTAATTCTTCCTCCAAATTATAATTTTCGCTGATAAGTTAATGATAAGTGGTAATTTCAATTGTTCATGTTTTTGTATCTCCATGACATAAAGTAGACAGAGGCTGCTAAAAATACTTTCATTCCCTCCAAAAAATATTGTTTGGCATTTTAAGTTGATTACTAAAAAGGAGAGCAATACAGTGTTCTCAGTAGGATTTTTCCCCAGTTATGTTAAATTCTCATTTTCACAAATTCAGCCAAAAAATGGTAAAAATATGCCATATTTCATTTTTCCTCATTTTCAAGCAGGCGTAATGATTGGGAAATCACTGAGATAATTGGAACATCTGAAAAGTAAAAAAATTGAGAAATACTGAAAAAATAAAGTTTGGCATCTTGATTCATGAAAATAAAATTTCATTTGATTGAAAGGAATATATTGTACTGGTAGAACAGTACGAAAGATACTAAAAATAACAAGATATTTTATTGACTTATTACAAGGCATATGTTTTTATAAAAACTGTACTCTCTCTGAGAAAGGTACTGTATACGCCATAATGAAAATTCCATAAGTTAAAAACATCTCTTAAAGTTGTTCAGTGTTGATTGTTACGCTCATTTAAACTTGACCAAGAACGGAACATCATCGGGAAAAATGTAAATGGGGTTCAGAATTAGAGTAATAAAGAAAAATTTACCCGTTTTACCGCAAATATTTAGCTTCTCTTACCACATAAACCTATAAGTTGTGTTTTATTAGATTCCTCTAGACCTCGCTGCACTTTTATAACCTGTGATTTTATCAGTATTTTTATGAGAAAAATATATCATTTCTCTCTTTGGATTGATCCGTAATCTATGATGAATCTATTTCGGACTATTAAGGATACATTTATTGAGACGTTATCATAGAATCAAATTCTACTGAAGATATAAAAACTCTGGATTAATCATTTTAAGATGAGTATTTATAACAATTGAGTATTGCAAAAGTGCGTGCACTTAGGTTCTACTTGCACCCCTGATAACCTCAAAATTCCTAGTGAATCTCCCAACATGTCATTGATAATATTACGCTTAAAGTAATTTATTCAGTTAAAATGAAAAAAGATGATGGAGAAATTTGATGCGAGGGTCTTTGTAGAAGATAAATTCTAGCAGGAGTGTATGAAGGTCAAATTCCACAAATGATTTCTGCTAAATATTTAGCTGAGTTCTGACATCTGTATATACACATTCAGTTCAGAGTACTCAGCTCAAGTTTTCTTGTAAACCCATGCAGATTTCACTTCATTCCACTCTCAAATTCAAACAAAGTGACTGATTTCCTCGCATTTTTATACAGTTATGAGTGTTGACTCAATGCTCATGTTGTTTATTCCTTGCTAATTCCACTCCTTTTATTTTAATTTCCTATTTTGAAACTTACCCATTTTGACATTTTTCTTATGGGCATTCTACTCATAATGGCTAACTTGGTCAAATGGTTGCAGACGTTTACACATTAAGCCCATATAAAACATGACCCATATGCAATATATATAGGGTACATAATGAATGGATCATCATGAATTATAAATGAAGTTTACTTGAGCTCTTCAATAAAGAAAAAATACTTTTTTAAATCTCATATGAAAGTCATAGGAAATTCCAAATATAAGTAATGCCCTCCACTTTAGTTGTACTCTATTCTAATGAGACACTATTAAAGGAAGATTCTACACTGCGTGTATCTTTTCCCAGGTCAACTGCACATGTTTGTACCACATGATAAATGTAGCGAAAGGGTTGAATTATATTTCTCTTTATTCAATAAACTCACTCACATAATCCTGGCTTACATGTGAGATTTATTGAATTTATTAATTCCCATGTATAAAGTTTCACAAAGTCAATATCTTCAAATTTGAAATAACAAGAATAGAATCAGAAATATAGAAACTAAAAAAGGAGTATTTTAATCACTGAAGTATACAGAAATATGTAAAACTTCCCAAATTTACAGAGAAAAGACATGAACTGTGCATGATCATGCCAGCATTTTAAGGACAAGAATGAATGTTTTTCACTTGGTATTAAACCCAGTGTTGATCTTGCAGATTTTTTCCATCTCCCTTGAATTTAATAACCCCAGCCAAAATTTGACATTTTTTACTCAATATAATTTATTTCAAATAATTCATGTATTTGTTTTGATGGGTTACTCATAATTCAACTAAATGTTGTATGGTTCACATCAGTTTGAATTTATCTTTATATTTTGAGTTAAAAAGTAATAATTTATGAAAATAGTTCATTCTCTATAGGGGTTAACATGTGGATTATGTTTCAGGTTTTAATATCATATAAGAGAACTTGACCATTCACTTTTAACAAGTTTTTGGCAAGAAAGGAGGTTTGAGGATTATCTCATGTGGTGGTCACTTATAAAGTGAATATAACATCTACGACTGAAAGTTGAAAATATGACGATTTGTACATAGAGATACATTACTATATGGATATATCATTTTATGTTTACTTTACAAAATAAGTAACACATGAATCCATAACAACGTCATCAACATAAACGAAGGATAAAAGAAGTTGGATATATTTTGACCTATACATTTGGCTTGATATATACATGCAGAATAAAACATAAAGAACTAAATGAAAAAAGGATCGCATATAAGGATTAATTCGCGGCATCACATGCTGTAATTCACATGAGAAATGTTACACGAAACATTAGGATAATGGATGTATAGGAATCATGGAAGGAGTAACAGTAGAAATGAATAATTCCTGCAGTTTGATTGGTCAGGATGGGTTTGACGATCCAGGTGGTGGATACACCCGAGATCATCTCATGAATGCGATCGACAAAGTTCGTAAATCACCAAGAAAATATGAAAATATTGGAATATTAGATTTAGGTGACCAAGACATAAACCCAGAATCACCAACAATGTTACAAAATAACCAATCCCCAAGAGTAACAACCCCGGGTAGATCACCATATCAAAATGGTCAATCACCTTTGAGCCCATCACGTGTTAAACGGACGGATAGCTATATGCTAGCAATGAATGAAGGGCTCAAGTCGAGGCAGCGTGTTCGAGAGAAATTCAGATCCGCTGGACATATTGACGATATTAAAGAATCAGGGAATAAATCATCTTCAAGATCGCTCAAGCGGAACACAAATGTAAAATATTTGAGGGCCCAATCTGAAGGGGGTCAAACTGTAGACCAAAGTATACAAAATTCATTTCTCAACTTTCTTACCAAAAATAACAGTCCAAGGGAAGAAAGTTTGAGTAAAAAGAGTCCAATGAAAAACAGTCCACTTGTGAGTCCTAGGATATTTAATAACAGTTTAAATCTGCCTAAAACTTCCAACTTATTGGATGTTCCCCCTAGACTTCCTGCACGTCGCAGTAGTACCGGATCAGCCGAAGTCAAGCAAACAGGACGTAAACAGTTTAGAGATAGAATTAACTCCACATCTTCCGATCATGGCCCTATATTAGAACTAAATGATATTCCCGAAAATGACCCACCAATTACCCATAGTGCACCTCCAGTCACCCCAAAGACGCTACGCAGGTTGAAACCAAACATCTCAAAATTTACAAACTCTTTGGGAACTCTTTTCAGGAATCGAAGTAACAGTACTAAATCTGATTCGGATATCAGTCACTATGACAACCATTGCCATAGCGATGATGATGATGATGACAATGATGATGTAATTGATGCAGTAGTAGATAATGATGAAGATGATTATGGCTTTTTAACACTGTCTAAACCTGTTACTAATGATTCTTCTTCAGCCATGAACAAAAGCAAGTCTCCGAACCCAACTCGAAGGATATTACCCAAAAAATGGCGAAGCAAAGTTGCAAAGTCATCTCCTAGCCTCGACACATGTCTATGGAGCTCAGAGGTAAGACAATTACTATATATATTTGAGGGGGTGATTGGGTTAACATGTTACACTCCCCTCCATAAGTTTGGCAACTACATTTGGATCACTTATTAAAATGTATTGTGATTTAGAGAAAAATTAATCATTAACATTCTTTGAATTGCAATCCAGTGAAAACTTGCAGTTGTTAATTTTACAAAAGGGAGTGTACGAGCAAGGAATAAAGGGAACAAGCATGAAATCACGAGTTTCTTTTACATAGAAAGTTAAGCCATTAATTCTTACATATGAAAAGAAAATATGTTTTGATCAGTAATTATTTTTTACAAGAATCTATTGAGAAATATATTTTCTTTCATCTCCTCTACAATTGCTTATACATTTTATTTCACATGTACTGCAATCAACAATTTATCCTTTTACAGATAATGTTGTGGTTACATGATATTTGCCATGACACGAATATGAATTTTTTACAATTAAATGACATTTGTGATGTGAAAAAACATAAATTAAATGTTTCAACATATTTATAAATGTATAAAGTCGATGTATAAAAGTGTTTCATGCAAAAATACAGCTCACTTAAATAAGAAAGCTTAATTTTTGGGGTCAACATAACTGTTATGAATATATTTGTCAAATTAATCATGAAAAGAGTTTTGGAAATTGAATAATGAAGATCAACATGGGATCTAAAGGGAATCAGTAAAGTCCCTTAAAAAGTTTTTGGCCCTTTTTTTAAACTCAATTCTCGTTGGACACTGGAAGTTGTATCAAGTCCTTTTGGACCCTTTCATGCAATAATATAACTAATATCGTATAAATAATATATGACTTGTTTATAAATCCTGTTTCATGCAATATATATAGGTTATTTACTGGGAGGGATTGAATATGGGTTTTATTCCGAGGGACAATATGATATTGACTGAAGGGTAATATGATATTGACCGAGGGAGCGCAGCGACTGAGTGTCAATATCATATTTCCCAAGGTCAATATCATATTTTCCAAGGAATGAAACCCATATTCAATCCCGACCAGAAATAACCTATTTATTCCATAATACATTCCTCTAAAATGTTACATTTTGAAAATACTTTTATCAATTAGCCAAGGTTAAAAATAACAGGAAAACCAAAAATAGGTTAATACGTTCCAATACGATTTTTTTCCCGGGGACAATACGATTTTTTTCATGTAATACGCTCCAATACGATTTTTTTCCCGGGGACAATACGATTTTTTCATGTAATACGATTCAATACGATTTTTATTCCTTCATATTTCCCTGGGAAAACAGCAGTATTATGGAATAAATATATTTCTTTTATTGACAATTGACGATTTGCGATCACCGAATGGCTTCTATCTTTTAGTGACGTCACAATTAGGCCAGCCAGCTTTAGATGCTTGATTTTGAGAGATTATCTTCTATATTTCATGCTTTATTGATTAATTTTTCACAAACGCATTCAATTTGACTAGATCAACATTCATGCTAAGCATATGCCAAGTCTAAGATCTTACTGACATGATTTAGATAGCGGTTAAGCGCCCCCCGATTTTAGGCATCGATGTTTAATATGAATTTCACCCAAACTTCGCACATATATAGATAAACTCATGATCTAGTCAAATCGGCATACCTGGTAAATATCCGACCCATGGTTTTCATTAAATAAACGACAATATGTTTAGCTCAAAACTGCCACGTGTCCGCCATTTCATGATTCCATCATTTCTAGTATCATTTCTATGTGACGTCACACCATAAGACTAAACACATGACAACAGTATCCATAAACAAAATTCCTGAATTCTGATCGCAAAAGGTCAATTGTATCAAAACATGACACATCACAATAGTCTATGTACAAACTAAACTGTCTTGACTCAAGACAATACTACACTATTAACTAAATGCTAGACTACATTAATAATATAACTCATATACTATAAATAATATGACTTGTTTATAAATCCTGTTTCATGCAATAATATAACTAATATAATATAAATAAATAATATGACTTGTTTATGAATCCTGTTTCATGCAATAATATAACTAATATAATATAAATAATATGACTTGTTAATAAATCCTGTTTCCAGGACAACAACACATGGAGCAGTGTTAGCGGCAGAACAGTTGTGCTAACGTCTACCAGTCTTCTTGCGCTAACAGAGCTTGAGAGGTTAGCGTTGACCAAGATAGCATTAGCGCAGCTCCAGGCACTGCAGTTAGGGTGTACGATCACCATCCCTAAAGGTAGGTGATGGTTTAGATTGTCCAATGATTTGTTGTTTGATGAGAGTTGCCATAGCAACATATGTATACAGTCCGGTAAATATCAGAGAAAACCAAATAATTTCCCTGGTCTTGAAAATTGATTGGTAATAATGAATGAATTTGTTCATATTTTTACATTTGATGCAAATATTTACATATTGGGGCATTCAAAGTTAATTATTTGTTTAATATTTTGATGAAGGGCCAAACTTTACCTAAAACACCCACTGAGCCATGGGCCATTGAGCTCATGTGCATTAATACATGCAGTTGAATTTGGGAACTCTTCACTACATATTATCTCTAAAGTCACAATTAAAAACAAAATCTTTGTCCAGTCATTCATTTTGCATTTTAAAACTTTTACTCAAATCTCCCTTGATTTCTTTTTATACTAAATCTGATAGGTGGTCTCTGACTCACTATATAATGGATGGTAAAGTTAAATGCATTGAACCTTAAATAATGATTGTGCACTTAATATTGAAAATGGTAACCTATTACCCAATACTGTATAATGCATTAATCAAAATGCAATGTCTTAATTTACTCATTCACCAAATGCTGTCACACCCATGCCAAGACATGAGACATGTCAGTTTATACATGTCAGTTTATACACATACAGGGCAAGCTTTACTGATACATCTGTCTTCTTTAAAATGTTTCTTCACTTTTTATTTCGTTTATAAGTCATTAACAAGCACTTTTAAAATGCGATATAAGTTGTAATAACAAGTTGTCCATCCACCACATGCTGATCTAAGTTAACAAATGATGCGATTTGTGAGCAACAATCAGCTTTCTTTATGAGTATGTAAAATAGATAAATTTGCAAATGTGACCAAGTAGAGGCATATTTGGAAATATATATATTACCCAAGATATTGTTTTGTTCATCCATTTGTTAAAAAAATATGGGGACTTTTTTAATACTGTAAATAACATTTTCCCCAAAATACTGATTTTATTCAAACACGAAGCCAGTATTTTGTAAATTATACCCAAATATTTGAACATTTAAATATGACTCCAGATCTGCCAGTAATATGACCCTTGTAGGTGCTTTTGAACTTGTTGACCTTTGACCTTGATTTAAGGTATTGTTGACCTTTGACCTTGATTTAAGGTATTATGATGCCCAGCCAAAACAATAACTTAAAACTTGGAATAATATTATGATTAACCCAATAGAACCTAAAGTACATACATTATTCCAGTTTTACTGGGTTACCTCCGAAATACCTAATAATAAAGAAGCTCTCACTACTTGAGTTTATTTCCCATAAATAAGAGAAACATCCTTGAAAACACATTGCTATTTCTGAGAACTTTGTTTAGATTTCCCTTTTGAGTGGAGAATGTGGGATTTCTCTTGAATTGAGCCAATGTTGTATTTTTAGCTATCAGACCTTGAGACAGTTAAGTATATTTTAGAGATTGAAGTATAAAGTGTTCAGCCTTGAAAACTTGCTACTGAAATATTTTTTGGTATTATCCTGTTAAAATGCATTCAGGTCTAACACAAATAGACAAAACAGTTGTACAATTCAATTAATTTCTACTTAAATCTTCATCCAAATGTAATGGGAAATCCTTATGTAGTTTTAAGGTTGATAGAATTGCTTTGGTCTGTTAAAACATTTCTTTAGAAAGGAAACATTCTACTACTGAAGGAGTGCATGCAATTAAAAAACTGGTGTATTCCAGAACCATGCAATTAAATTGATATAATGGTGATGTTATTTGAGATCCAAAATGATGAAAAGTGTAGATTCTTTGAAATGATCAATTTGCAATTGCAGGCCCGTAGCCAGGATTTGCCAAGGGGGGTTCATGTTTTGAAAAATTCCAGGGGGGTTCACTTGTGACAATTTTGGTCCTAAAATGGCTCGAACTACCCCATGGCTACGGGCCTGATTCGGATGTATTAATAAATTACAGAATGAATGAACACATATCTATTACTAAAGCTATATTTTGAAAGTCCTCAGAATGAAGGACAAGGTCAAAAGTACCCAATTTTCTTGTATTAATGTCATACAAGGTCAATTTTTAAAATGATTTTTATCTATGGTGTGAATATATACAATACCATGTGGCATTTTTTGTTTATATTTGTAAACTAAGAAACTAAATTGAGCCACAAAGATTTTGAAATTGGTATTTATTATTCGTGTCAATTTATGGTAAGTGCAGCTTTACTTTGTTTGTATTAGACAGAATTTAAGAAACTTTCATATTTTTCTAGATGATGAGCAGAAATCTGAGAAGAGGACGACATTCTCCTTGAAGAAGAGAACCCAGTCTGCTCATCTTGGAGGCCTCATTGATAATATTAAAGATAACTTTACTAAAGATAAATCAAAGCAATCAAAAGGTAAGAACTCAGTCTGCTCACCTTGGAGGCCTCATTGATAATATTAAAGATAACTTTACTAAAGATAAATCAAAGTAATCAAAAGGTAAGAACCCAGTCTGCTCATCTTGGAGGCCTCATTGATAATATTAAAGATAACTTTACTAAAGATAAATCAAAGTAATCAAAAGGTAAGAACCCAGTCTGCTCATCTTGGAGGCCTCATTGATAATATTAAAGATAACTTTACCAAAGATAAATCAAAGCAATCAAAAGGTAAGAACCCAGGATGATAACCTTGGAGGCCTCATTGATAATATTAAAGATAACTTTACTAAAGATAAATCAAAGCAATCAAAAGGTAAGAACCCAGTCTGCTCACCTTGGAGGCCTCATTGATAATATTAAAGATAACTTTACTAAAGATAAATCAAAGTAATCAAAAGGTAAGAACCCAGTCTGCTCATCTTGGAGGCCTCATTGATAATATTAAAGATAACTTTACCAAAGATAAATCAAAGCAATCAAAAGGTAAGAACCCAGTCTGCTCATCTTGGAGGCCTCATTGATAATATTAAAGATAACTTTACCAAAGATAAATCAAAGCAATCAAAAGGTAAGAACCCAGGATGATAACCTTGGAGGCCTCATTGATAATATTAAAGATAACTTTACTAAAGATAAATCAAAGTAATCAAAAGGTAAGAACCCAGTCTGCTCATCTTGGAGGCCTCATTGATAATATTAAAGATAACTTTACTAAAGATAAATCAAAGTAATCAAAAGGTAAGAACCCAGTCTGCTCACCTTGGAGGCCTCATTGATAATATTAAAGATAACTTTACTAAAGATAAATCAAAGCAATCAAAAGGTAAGAACCCAGTCTGCTCACCTTGGAGGCCTCATTGATAATATTAAAGATAACTTTACTAAAGATAAATCAAAGCAATCAAAAGGTAAGAACTCAGTCTGCTCACCTTGGAGGCCTCATTGATAATATTAAAGATAACTTTACTAAAGGCAGAAACCAGGATGGTATCTTCGGTGGGGGGGGGGGGGGTCATTGGCAGTATAAAGATAACTAAGATAAGTTAAAATAGAAGTTAGTCTTTCATCTTATAATGTCTAAATGAGATCAAATATTGTATTGAAACAAAAGAACATTCTTGAAGAACAAAACTACTGTACATGAATTGTATCAAATGTAATAGTATACAAATAGTGACTGCCATTGTGCGGCTGAGGGAATAGTACATTGTAGAGGATATTCCCAAGGGGAAATCATTTACACTATTGCTCGAAATTAGGCAGTCACTATTTGTTTTATTATATACCCTATACTGACTCTTGTCCCGTTTCCTCTGCGAAGGCCAAAAGGCTTAGAAAGCCCCCTCCCCGGGTCCATTGTTAGCATTATAAGCTGTGACGTCATCAGATGCTCAACAGAAATGTTTGCCTCTGAGACTCTCACTTGACAAATTCAATCGCGTTTAACATGCGGAATAGATTATCATAACACTTGAAATCACACAGACGTATAGTTCAATAGTTCAAATGTATATTCCCGCTGACGTCACATTTGAGGGAATATAACTTTCCGAGGGAAATAGTAAATCTATTTCGGAACACGTGACTAGGTATTGACCAATCAGGATTAGTGTTACATATTGGGTATATAATAATACTTGATATTCAATCAAACTGATTTTTACTTTTAGTATACATGTATGTAGCTTTATTAATTTTCTCAAGTCATTCTTTGCATGTTTTATGTTTCAAGATGGTGGTCCAGGGTTGGTATTTGGCATCAGTCTTGCGAAATGTATCGCCAATGATATCACCCAGAGAAAACGACGCTCCCTTTCATTGAAGGAACGACGGGAAAGCATTGATACGGGGCAGACCCCAAGAAGACAAAAGTAAGTTGTTTATGATCTAACTAATAATGGATTGCTATTTGGGAATCATGTTTAAATCAATATGATTCAAAAGGTATAGTCCCTGTTATTCTGATCCTAAGTGACCCCAAAATGTTTTTTTTGATTCATGAAGACCTCCTACAGACTTTGATTTAAATCTTTTCTCTGATAATATCAAAACTGTAAAATATTGCTCATCTTTTAAAGGAACATTGCGATTTATAGAGGATAAAATGGTTAAAAATAACATTTTTCTGGCTATAGACATGATTGCCTGGTCTAACACCTTCTCTGGTGAACCTATTTTTGAAATATGCATGAAGGTCCATTCAAAGTCGATGTTTGAACCTTTAAAAAGCCAAATTTAGACTGAGGATTGAAAAGGTTCTCAGAACTTATATTTTTTACGAGGAGTAAATGGTGATAATGTTCTTTTTTTATGATGCGAGGAAGTCAAAACAAAAAATTGTTAAATTACAAAATAGGTTGGGTAAAGGATATGTCAAAGTCGTTTGATCTCGTTTCGGAAGCAATATTTTGACATTTCCTTCGCCTAGAATTCCTTAAAGCAGCTTGGCAAGTTCCAATTGTAAAGATTAATTGACACCAGCTATATGAGCAATTGTAATATATATGAGATAATAATATTAAAAAAGTTTATTTCAAAGTATATTGATAGTTACAAATCATTATAAATTAAAAACAAATTAGGCGTAATTAAGAATCAAAGTTATATTGATTCAAAGACTGCCATTTTGATTGAAATAGGGGAGGGGGGAGGGTTACAGCTGCAATGAATATGCGTGTGGCACTGGAGAAGCACAAACACTGAATTAATAGTGTCAACTGTATATATATATATTATGTTACAGAGTTTTATCCCAAAATGATGTTATTATTGCTTATAGCTCTCCATATTCAGTTTAAATGATGAGATGAGATTATTGAGCACCCCTCCATTGTAGTGCTTAGATGTGATGAAATTAATTCAAGAATTTTTTATTTTGCTCTTAAGTTTTTCGGTATTGTGGTTAATTTAAGTTTTTTACCAGTAGCCAGCATTAACTATAACAATATAGCAATGGATTTTGTCTATTTATAATTCTATTTTTTAATATCCTCCCACAGGAAATCGAAATCTCTTCCAAAAAAACTAAAACATGTCAGTATACCAGCTCACCTAGTAGCTTATGCTGAACGATATGTTGAAATGTGGTCACAATCGTCACCTACTGTAGATGAAAACAGGTATAAGGAGTGAATACTAGACCCAGTTAGCTTGGTTCAAATACTAACATCCTCTCATGAGGGAAAATATTCCCAGCAGTGAATTCTCAACCCAATTATATGCATTAAAATACTAATATGTTTTCATTTCTAGAATTATTAGAGTTATTTAAGAACATGAACTCGTTTACATGTACCGTGGTACATTACTTCCAATATTAACAAACCACCTTTAAAGTTTATTCCCCAGTTCTTTTCAGTTTTCAGCCATCCTTGGGGGTTGGTCATTTTATATGGCTATCCCATTACTTGGGGATTGATCATCTCATAGGGTATCCCTTTGCCTGGGGATTGATCATCTTAGAGAGGTATCCCATTGCTTGGGAATTGATCAGCTTATAGGGGTATCCCTTTGTTTAGGGATTGATCATCTTATATATGGCTATCCCTTTGCTTAGGGATTGATCATCTTATATGAGTATACCATTGTTTAGGGATTGATCATCTTATATGAGTATCCCTTTACTTTGGGATTGATCATCTTATGTGAGTATCTCTTTGCTTGGGGATTGATCATCTTATATGAGTATCCCTTTACTTGGGGATTGATCATCTTATAGGGGTATCTATTTGCTCGGGGATTGATCATCTTATATGGGTATCCCTTTTCCTGTGGATTGATCATCATATATGGCCATCCCTTTACTTGGGGATTGATCATCTTATATATCCCTTTACTTGGGGATTGATCATCTTATATATCCCTTTACTTGGGGATTGATCATTTTATATATGGCTATCCCTTTGCTCATAAAGCTGTTTTACAAACATAATGTTTAGCTCAATGTTACATGAGCTCATAGCAGTGTTTTATTATTGCCTAAATCTCTACTAAAAATGTTAACCCCTGCCCCATGATACCACTAGATGATTCTAATCAATTTTGCAACCCATTTTACATCCAGCCTATCTTTATGAAATGCATGGCAAGCTAGTTCCTTTACAGCCTGCCTTTTAACCATGTTTACAGATTTGCTTATAAGTTCCCAGTTTTGATATTATGTTGTTTCTTTTTTGCTGCATTTTAGCCAAACCATAATGTTGATTAAAAAGGTTTAATTTTATACATTCACTTAGGTTAAAGAAAAACAATACGTTGTGGAGTAAGATGTGTTCTTATGTTTTCTTTTATATCATCTATGAGAATTTCCAGTATTTAACCTTTTCGAGATTTTTACTAAAATTGCTCCCAAAGGCTATTTGGTAATACATGTATTTATCAAAATTGCACAAACTTCTTAAATGTATGTCATGCATCTACTTATACCACCATAGTGTATGTTTCTGTTGTAAAATTGCAAAAACTGGCCAAAATGAATAATGCTTTGAACAAGAGGTTAAATGATAAGGTTTTGAATTCATGCCTCAAATTGTGGTTGTTTTCAGACATAACAGTGAATCTGCCAGCTCGCTGGAAAACCAGTCAGCAAAAGAGAAGAATGCTCCCTCTCCAGGTCTAAAACATGTAAGTAGCTCTACTAACTAGTCTATATACAGTAAACCCTGTATATACCTCCCCAGATCTTAAACATATAAGAAACTGTACTAACTAGTCTATATACAGTAAAACTTGTATATAAACCTCTCCAGGTCTTAAACATGTAAGTAGCTCTACTAACTAGTCTATATACAGTAATTTTTTCACATTTGAGAGTTGAACCATGATACTTGGCGAATCAATGTAACTTTTGATCAGCTTTCAAATGATATATAACACATACTATGATGACACTGGTATATGTCTGCCTAGGGGGGGGCATACTTCGGGACACACTGTATATATACAATAAAACCTTTTGAATCCAAATGCCACGGGAACCAGCCAAAAGTGTTAAGATTATCAGGTGCTCCTATTTCAAGGTTTTCCTAATATGTGTGTCTATCGGAACTGAGAAAAATGTGACCAAGAAAAAGTGTTCACATTGAGAGCTAGGTGTTCTGTAGTTCCTATATAGTAAAACCTGTCTAATTCAAATTCCAATGGAACTGGCCATAAGTGTTTGGATTTACAGGTGTTTCAAGTTGCAAGTTTTTTGTTCGGATTGGAGAGGTATTCAAATATACAGGTTTTACTGTAGATTGTATTTAGAGGTGTTCAGATATACAGGTTTTACTGTATGAGTGTTATGTAATGGAAGGTTCTAGATTTAGGGTTTATCTCAAAGGATGTATATAAAATATTAGGGATATTATAAGCAATATTTTTTCTGGTCGAATGTGACCAGAAACTGCAATATTTTTTATCGGCCTAAATTGAGATTCATTATTTTAACATGCAGTATCTCTCCTTTAAGTCACAAGTAATAATTGACCTGAAATTCACACCTTCATTCACAATCAGCACCATCTATATTTGAGGCTATATACTTGACACTGAAAGTTAATTGGCTTTTTGAGTTTTAGCTCCCCCAGGCAGGCTTGCCATCTTGAGTTCCAGATTGCTTTCGAAACATTCTCCTTTGGCTGGGGCAATAAAACCTAAGCCATAACATGACGAATAAAAGTGCATATAAAAACTAAAATCTGATTATCTAAACTTTAGCGTAGAATGGTGGCATTATGTTATATAAGAGGTCAGGTTGGCCTACCTTCAATTATATAGATGATTTACCCCTTGAGGATTATCGAAAACACAATCTCCTCGAGCTTGGATTTCAATTTGTGGAATATTCTTAAACTTAGAGGAATCAGCAAGGATTATACCAAGCAGACTCAGGATTTGGTGTTTTAACTGTAAGGAAATTGTACAAAAAATTGGAACCTGATGAAAGAAATATTTTAGTGATTGATTATTTGAAATTGTTTGAAAAGGAGGCTTTCAGAACTGGTTATCTTCAACCTGAATTTTGCCCTTGACATATAAGAAATAAACCATCTCTTAAATGGATTTTTTAACCAACTGTGGTACTTGAAATGTAATGTGTCGTCTTATCTGCATATATACTATACAGTACTACTATACAGCCAACAATAGTGGATTAAATTGTCATGTTTTATATGGGGTATTTACGTCATTGTTACATCCAAGAGAACATTTTTCTATTCCTTTCTCGGTTATTGCATACTAATTCACACATTTTATCTTTAAGTTCAATAAAGTGTGTGATTTTTTACAGTTATTTATGTGTTATTGTAAAGATGACCTATTTCTTAACTGAATTTCTCCCAAATTACTCTATATCTCACTCTATTTCACTTTTAAACATTAATCGTGTATTATTTTTCGCAGGGGTATGCTCCTAATATCTGGTGTTTATATTGAAGTCTAAATTAGCAGGACTACAGTATAGTAGTTCGTTTTCACTTTTAAGTTGCTTAGATTCTCTCAAATATCTCTCTCTGAATTGCCTGATTTCCTAGGTGTTCTGGGCAATTTAGAGTGTTGTCGACATGTCTGTCCTTGCTAATTCCACTCTTACTTATCTATTTTTCATTTTGAATCCTGGTCACCATGACATTGAATCTTGGGTAGGGGAATTCCTATTAATGTTGGCTTTTGAAAATATTTGAATCTGGAAAAGCTTTATAATGGAGGAATCAGGTGTTAAACCTTTCTGAGTTAAATATTCTTTCCTTGTATTTATAGTGTAGACATATAGTAGTCTATATCAAGTTCTTGTATTTTATAGTCTTGCCTTGAGTCTCGTATTCTGTAATTATCCCATCGAACGAAGTTCGGAGGGATATAGGGAACGCCTCCGTCCGTCCGTCTGTCCGTCCGTCCGTCCGGGTGATAACTCAAATACCGTTGGCCCGATTTTGTTCATATTTTGTACACATATACCCTATGGGGGTAGAAGTTCTGCTCGAAAGCCGATTTTCAAAATGGCCGCTCAATTCAAAATGGCGGCCATTTTAGTGCCGATTTTACAGTAATTTAGGTGCAATATGTAAAACTGTAATAGCAATATGTTTTAAATGTAAAAAAATTATGAAGGACATTAATAAAGCTATAAATGTAGACATTAAAGAAGCACATGGCAGCAATCTTGAAAAATGGCGGCCTTTACTCGTTATTTAACGATTTTTGCTATAACTCGAAAAGTAGTGGAGCGATTTTGTTCATATTTGGTATGTGAATACTATAAGCATTGCACACTGCCTAAAGACACTTTTGGTAGAATCTTGAAAAATGGCGGCCTTTACTCGTTATTTAACGTATATTACTATAACTCGAAAAGTAGTTGAGCGATTTTGTTCATATTTGGTATGTGAATACTATAAGCATGGCACACCGTCCTATAACACTTTTGGTAGAATGCGGCCATTTTGAAAAAAAATTTGAAAAATGGCCGCCATTTTAACGTATTTTACTATAACTCGAAAAGTAGTGAAGCGATTTTGTTCATATTTGGTATGTTTCATATTTCATATGTGAATACTATAAGCATGGCACACTGTCTAATGACGCTTTGGGTAGTAGGTGGCCATTTTGAAAAATGGTCACCATTTTTATGTTTTTTACTATAACTTGAAAAGTAGTGAAGCGATTTGGTCATATTTGATATGTGAATACTCATGAGCCTTGCACCCTGTCTCATGACACTTCAGATAGTAGGCAGCCATTTTATAAAAATGGCTGTCATTTTTACATTTTTTACTATAACTCTAAAAGTAGTGGAGCAATTTTGTTCATATTTGATATGTGAATACTTTAAGCATGGCACATTGTCTAATAAAACTTTGGGGAGTAGTCAACCATTTTGAAAAATGGCCACCATTTTTATGTGTGTTATTTTACAAGTACATGTATGCGATTTTTCAAAGATTTTATAGGTGGCTACTTAAAATCATATTATTTCTTCTGATGACAACTTGGCTAGTGAGCAACCATTTTGAAAATGGTGGCCTTTCTGGTGTGTTGTTTTATGATGTTTGCTATATATTTCGTTTGTAAAAATGCCAGCCATTTCTGTTCGATGGGAATCGCTACGCTTTGGCGTTGCCGTTGTTCTGGTTTAATATTGGGTGAGAGGATCATTGGGATGTAAAAGTAAATATTTACAAATTTTATGGAAGCGTTCTGTAATTAATATGATTTTTCAATTATTGAAATTTGGTATTTGAATATCCCTTTAATTTAACTTCAATAGAGGAATCATTTGCTAGTGAATTTGTGAATCGTACAATCCATAAATTAATGTAAAAAATAAGTTGAAACTCAAAATAAATCTGACCACAACACTACAGCAAGTGCATGTTTTGAGCAGATTGTTAGTTGTAATTAACAAATGAGTTTGAGGTGATGGATTGCTGAACAATGGCCTCTACCAGGTGAAACTAAGATTTACCTCCCATCTGGCTTTTCCATTCAAATCTCTCACAAAATTTGAATTTGCAATTCTAAATGCGCAATATATGCGAAGTATTTACCTATAATGAAGCATATGTATAGTGGATGGACACTCCAGAGATGTTGACATTATTTAAAGCTTCATTTAATTTTTAGAGTTGAAAAATATCGTATTTTTATGACTATTTTTGGATGTTTCTAATTGGCAGACTTAATGTCTACGTGATTGCCATCAGCTTACACAGCCAACAAGTCTTGCTAACCTGCACATGCTAGACTTGCTTAAAATGATCTGTGTTCCAACAAATTGTGGAAATCTAATGAAATGGTGCGAACAGACATGTAGTCAATGCTCGTAATTGCATAGAATTGACAGAAAATTAAACAGTTCGTTATTTTAAGAGAACTGACTGAAAAGGACCATGACCATAGAGTCATAGACTGTTGCGTTATGCATGGGTGGAATGTCATTCAGACTGTAAGGTTTTGGTTGTGAGGTCACCAACACATGCGTCAGTGAAATAACCCTGACTTTAATGGAAAACTGTACTCCCTCTGGTTACTGTCATTAATTTTACAGTTAGTCATTTGACCAATCAGAGAGCAACATAAGCCCTAGACAAATATGTCAACTTATCTAACAAACATGTATCCAGAAAGTTTTGGTTGATTAATAATGACCAGCCCTGATGTCATAGTGAGCTCAGATGTTTGTCAATAATGTAAGAGTATGAGGTGAACTCATTGGGTCTTGCAAAGAGTAAAGAGGTTATCACGTGGGTCAATGAAGTAAGCCACAATTAATTTACTGTAGCTCATTGCCTTATAGGAACTTCTTAGAAACTTTAAATGGGGCTATTCAATTGAATCACAAATTCTGTAAGAATCATGAATAACTGCTGCATCAGGTCATCTTGGATTTAACCCAAAAAGAACTTTGAAATATTACAATTGATTTTCAGTTATTGAAATGAGTTTTTCTAGCTGCTTTTTGAAAAAATGTTTTATTTGGGGAAAGGTGGTTGTCTATGGAAAATGTAATTATGTTCTGGGGCATTTTGGAAATATTGAAATGGGCCCTTGTTTAGCTAATGGCACACTCGATCAGAGATTAGTTTTAGACTAACTCCTGAATTGGTCAGACAATTTCACTGTTTAGCAGCCCCACCCCCAGTTCTGGTGACCATCACACCCTGAGTTATGAAACAATTCAAACCCATTGTCCTTATATTTTCTTGCAGAAAGGAATGTGTTTCAATGATTTCAGAAATGAATCTTTAAGTCAAAAGAATGCAAAGAGTACATAACCTTCATTGCTGTAAAATATATAATATTTTATGAATCGGAAATAGACCCTACCCAAGGGTTGAAGAAAAAAATGGGAAAATTCAGAATAGATAATTTGATATTGCTTATTGTCATCATTTCATACAGTGAAAAGTAGCTTGGAAATGTTTTCATTTTGGAAGAAATAATTTGTTAAATCGTACCTATAATGCATAATCCTAATTCTATGATGCATTGTTTAGTACTCAATTGAACTCTACCGAGCATGTTTGACCTCAGAGATGTTTCTTGTCTGGTAAGATAGATATGTTGGAGTTGGAATCTAAACTAGCTAGCTGATATAGCATCTGCTTCAAAACAGTCTTCCAAGTTTCTACAATCAAGCAGCTTATTTTATTAAATGGCTATATATACAGTAAAACCTATACAGTTGAACACCTCTCTAAGCGGAACATCTCTAACTGTGAACACCTCTCACTCCTAATTTCGTAACCAGGGAACACCTGCTCTGGTCCATTTTTTGAGTTTTTACTGTTCTTGCCAGAAAAATTATTTCAGTGTTTCTTGACCAGCATAAATACGCAAAAACCCAATATGTATGAGGATAATTATATATCATGAGGATTAATTATTATTCGAACACGACTGTATTCACGCCTTCTATTAACTGTCAACAAAGTCAACATTTCATCCGGGTATATTCGCGAACAATGACCCTGGTAATATGTGTAATGTGTGATCATGAGGATTAGTTATTATTAAATCATTATATTTCACTGTTATATTATTATCAAAATACATGTAGGTGATATTCATAGCTTTGATGTCTTGAAAATGATTGCTGAATATATCCAGCACAACAAAACGTTTTGTTCTTATGTTTTCAGGTGCCTTTTAGTTTACCCTCCATGAAAGATATGCAGAAAGTAGCAGATATAGATCATTCAAGTTTATTAGAAGCTCTATCTCTATCGTCATCAGCAAGAATTGATAGCTTAAAGCGGGAACGTCCAAGTTTGACTATACCCACAACCCCCCATGTACCACAATTTGTCAAGTCCTGTCTTAATCATATAGAAAACTATGGTAAGTTTATTTTTCCCTTTTGTGGCCATTAGCAGCAGGGAATGGGGGATTTTCTCCAGTTAGGTTGTTCGCACCAAAATTGACTTTCGTCAATTGATGTCTTGTTTCAATAATTTTTTTGTCTGTTGTTTTCAGTTGTTTTGAATGTTATCAGATATTCTTAAGACAGGTATGCATCTTAGGTTAGGTTGAATTAATAGTATGTTTTTCTTCTTACACCTGATATATTTATTGTACGATTGGTACACTCAAGAATTCATTAAAAATAAACCACGATTCTGGCATATCACTTAGGATTTCATTTGTTATCAATAGAAACATCATTCCAAGACTATCATGGACTCGGTGCATGATCACATTCAATAACTTGATCTGAGTGTAGGCGTGAAATGATACGGCCATATTACCCAGCATGCATCAGTAAATCAAATGCTGTCCAGTGCAAATAATGTAATTAAGATCCAGGGACTCAGAACTTTGGCAGAGTACTGCCATTGCTGGGGTGAAAACATATAGGTGTGCAGGGATTTGAGACTATTTTCCCAGAATTCCCAGCATGTACTAGAGATAGATTAATGGTATCTGCTGGGTGGTGAAGTATGTAGGCAAACATCATCTGGAATTAAAGGAGAGATTATTCAGTTCATTGTTATTAATCAGAGATTTTCTAGAAAAGTGTGTTTCATAAAGTTTTGCTTTGGCTAATAAAGAATCATATCATAAAATTACTTGAAGCTCATTGCTCAAAAACGAATCCATTTGCTCTGTTTTTAAATAAAAATTAAAAATGTTTTTTTAGCATGCTTTTAGGTGAATACTGGTGAAGGAACAATTTGTCCTATGGGCTTCTAAATGTTAAAGGCCCCATGTAAATTTTGAAAAGGTTACAGGTGTCAGGTCTAGAGGTGGGAGGCTGACAGTAAAATCTTACCCTCTGATGATGTTGAATGGTACAGGGTGTTCATGAAGTCTCTTTGTACTTTACAGAGATTAGACTTGTAAAGATACTTTATGGACACCTTGTATTACAGTTACTGTTGAGATCTTAATAATCTCATTCAGGTAACTTTAATGGGGTTTTATTGGAATTTAAATATGAAATGAGTGTCAGCTTTGAATAGGTAGATGTTGCCATTCAAATCCTCAAAACCAATAAGATTGGGTTGCTGTTTTTGTATGACACATTCCGAGACTTCTAATTGGAAAACTATATCTATGATTCATATGCATTAACATTATTATGTGTTTTTCCATATTTTATTTTGTCATCTCCACAATGTGCTCAGTGTCTGTAACAAATGGCATGTGGTGACATTTTGCATATTGATCCCTTGTAGTAATGATTAGTTGGAAGTACATCATTATCCAATCAATGTTCATCTGATTTGTGAACATAATAGTACACAGAGGCCTTTCCCCACATTTAGATTATTTCTTATTGAAAGAGAACATTATATAGATGAAACCCTCTTAGGAACTCTACCATGAGATTAGATACTTGGCTAATCTGACCACATCTGACCACATTTAATAGTGTATTATGCTTGGAAAGAGAGAAAGATAAAGGGAGAATGGGTCATGCAAACTTAGTTGATACTTGAGTTTATTTGGCCTGCTCCTTGAAATAACTGATAAATACGTCTTGTTTTTATTTTGACCTTTACTAGTAAAGTATGGACTTAACTTAGTCAATGCTTTTTAATCATGCCTGAAGTTTTAGCTTAGTCAAAACTTATTCCATACAATTTATCTTAAAAGAACACAAATGCCTTTCATCTCTTGGTTTTGTACAAAATATGACATTACATTACATTCATGTTTGTTTACTTTATTCCTCCCAAGTCCTCTATACTTCATTTGACTTCATGTTCAAAGAATAACCACGTGTTATTTCCCCCAGGGTAGCACAGGATTGGTAGCTTTGATATAAAAATCTGAACCCTGAAATCGACAGATCAACATAATTAAAAAACATAAATATTTGTGTATTGACATGAGCCATTGTATAAATCTAATATTTATTTGCAAAATATGGTGAAAATGAGAATAGTTGGAAAAATCTTTGAATAAAACTAGTAGTTTTCTAAGAGGCTGCATATTTCTGCCAGGGTATGAATTTAATAAATACATCACAATTTACATTTTCAAACAATACAAAGGCTTTTTGATACTCTAAGAATTTAAGAGACATTATAACATTATTAGACATTATTTCACTTCTGTTGTTTCTTTTTTCCAAAGTAAACCAAATCAAGAACTCATAAACTGATGATATGTGCTTGACATACTTGTCTGAAGAAGTGACTCATTCTACCAGAAAATGCTTAAAATAGTAACAAGTGCTCAACAGTAGTTGATCTACTTTACTTTTTTCTATAATTTGCGTATATACATAATCTCTTTCAGTGATCCATTAAGAATGGAACACTTAATTTCATATGATTACCATAATTTTATCCATTGTGCCATTTTTTAGTATTTTGTAAGACATTTAAGATGGGATGCACTGAACTTGGCAGATTGGCTGGTTATCAGAGCAGCTCGTAATTGCTTAACTATCTGTTGAATTGTGTAATACTCCCTGCTTGTTCAGTAATACAAACATCTCACTCTTTTTTGTTGATGCCCATCTGCATGGCATTCTGTGTTACCTGTTTTTTCTTGCAACTAGTATATAATATTTTCTGTTATCATGCATTTTGAGGTCTCTAATTTAAATGTTTGTTGATTTATTTTAGGTTTACAGACTCTTGGAATCTTTAGAGTGGGAAGCTCCAAGAAAAGAACTAAACAGGTTAGTTGTTTTATAAACAGGTCAGTTGTTTTGCAAACGGGTTAGTTGTTTTGCAAAAAGGTTAGTTGTTTTGTGAACAGGTTACTTGTTTTGCAGACAGGTAAGTTGTTTTGCAAATAGTTGTTTGACAAACAGGCTAGTTGTTTTGCAGACATGTTAGTTGTTTTGCAAATAGTTGTTTTGCAAACAGGTAAGTTGTTTTGCAGACAGATTAATTATCCCACCGAACGAAGTTCGAGGGGGATATAGAAAAGCCGTCCGCTGGATATGACAAGTAAATAAAATCAATTATAATCTACCTATATGATGTAGATATCCAAATGTTGGTCTGAATTTATCTTTGTGGAAAGAATGTATGCTTCAGTTGCTCTTTAACAAAACATGTGGGACAGTGTATCTATATATTACAAGACGTCCGTCCGTCGGTTCGTCCGTCCGTTCGTCCGTCCGTCCGTTCGTGTGTCCGGGCAATAACTCAAATACCGGTTGACGGATTTCATTCAAATTTTATAGGCTTATGCCTTATGGGTGTAGGACCTCTGCTCGAGAAGGAATTTTCAATATGGCCGCTTAATTCAAAATGGCGGCCATTTTTCGGAAAAAATATAATCTTTATTAACTCAAATACTAGTGGATGGATTTGGATCAAATTTTATATGCTGTTGCATTGGTACAAAGGAGCTTTGCTCAATAAGACATTTTCAAGATGGCCACCAAATTTCAAAATGGCGGCCATTTTTCGTAAAAAAACGTTATCTTTGATGACTCAAAGACCATGAAATGGATTTGGTTCAAATTTTAGATGCTGATGCCTATGGACATTAGAGCTCTGCTCAAGAAAGGATTTTCAAGATGGCAGCTAAATTTCAAAATGGCTGCCATTTTTCATAAAAGAACGTAACCTTTGATAACTCAAATACCAGTTGACGGATTTGGTTCAAATTCTATATCCTGATGCCTAGAGACAAAGAAGTTCTGCTCAAAAATAAATTTTCAAGATGGCCACTGAATTTCAAAATGGCCGCCATTTTTCGTAAAAAATGTAATTAATGATAACTCAAATACTAGTGGATGGATTTGGTTCCAATTTTATATGCTGATGTTTAGGGGAAAAGGAGATCTGCTTCTATAGAAATTTCAAAGGCGATAGCTGAATTTCAAAATGGCTGCCATTTTTCATTAAAAAAGTAATCTTTGATAACCCAGATACCATTGGACGGACATTCTTTGCTAAAGAAGAAATCTAAAGATGACAGCTGAATTTCAAAATGGCAACCATGTTTCATAAAGACATAATCTTTGATAATTCAAATACCAGTGGATGAATTTGAAGTTGTTTTATAAACAGATTAATTGTTTTGCAAATAGGTTAGTTGTTTTGAAGACAGGTTAGTTGTTTTGCAAATAGTTTAGTTGTCTTGCAAACAGGTTAGTTGTTTTTTGTGGCATTGGAAGAAATTAGCATTACAACAACAACAACAACATTACCCTAGTCACATCATCTTCAAGGCCCTTATTGTGAAATCCTCGTAAATCATATTTATAAATTATCCACTTTGTATGTAAACAGACCCTCCCTGCAAATAATAAACCCTGAAAAGTTTAAAGTGGTAAAATCAACTTCATTGAATAAAGTATTGCAGCTCCATCTTTCATTGAAGAGTGCATGCTATCATTTAGTGTCATCAGTACCATATAAAATATGAAAAACATAATCAAAATTGCATTTAAGACTCGCCATATTTTATAATTTAACATTTTAAAATAAGTGTATCTTAAAAATTTTACATTTTAAATATATAGTTTCAAAACTGAAATGATAATGTATAAATATGTTTTTTCAGCTCCGGGAAGAGTTTGACAGTGGGAAAGATGTTAAACTAAATGAGGAGCACAATCCCCATGACATTGGGGCCTTGTTGAAGGAATACTTTAGAGATCTACCAGAACCTCTTCTTACAAGAGAACTCTATCCTGCCTTTGTTTCTGCATCAAGTAATGTCATTATTTAGAATTAAAATATCAGAACTGTCATATGTAAAAATGCGAAACCTAATTTAGCAATAAAGTATTATGTATATGTAGTTAGCTATGAATAATATACTGGAGAAAATGCTTGTGAAAACAAAAATGTGGAATGGGAGACTTGTTTTGGAAATACATGTAGTTTTGGTGCCTGCATTATCTTTAATGTTGAGCATATTAAAATTAAACTACATTGTATTCATTTTTATAATACTAAATAGATTTTTTATTTCTTGTCACGATTTCAGGACTTGATGATAATCAATGTAGGAAGTGTCTTAGGTGTTTAGTAGAGCTGCTCCCCGTTGCCAATAGAGACACTCTACATGTCCTTCTGAAGTTTCTACATAAAGTCAATGAACATTCCTCAGATCACATAGATGATACAGGACAAGAGGTGAGTCTTACCCAGCATTCCTCAGATCACATAGATGATACACGACAAGAGGTGAGTCTTACCCAGCATTCCTCAGATCACATAGATGATACAGGACAAGAGGTGAGTCTTACCCAGCATTCCTCAGATCACATAGATGATACACGACAAGAGGTGAGTCTTACCCAGCATTCCTCAGATCACATAGATGATACAGGACAAGAGGTGAGTCTTACCCAGCATTCCTCAGATCACATAGATGATACAGGACAAGAGGTGAGTCTTACCCAGCATTCCACAGATCACATAGATGATACAGGACAAGAGGTGAGTCTTACCCAGCATTCCACAGATCACATAGATGATACAGGACAAGAGGTGAGTCTTACCCAACATTCCTCAGATCACATAGATGATACAGGACAAGAGGTGAGTCTTACCCAGCATTCCCCAGATCACACATATGATACAGGACAAGAGGTGGGTCTTACTCAACATTCCTCAGATCACATAGATGATACAGGACAAGAGGTAAGTCTTACCCAGCATTCCTCAGATCACATAGATGATACAGGACAAGAAGTAAGTCTTACCCAACATTTGTCAGATCACATAGATGATACAGCACAAGAGGTGAGTCTTACCCAACATTCCTCAGATCACATAGATGATACAGGACAAGAGGTAAGTCTTACCCAGCATTCCCCAAATCACATAAATGATACAGGACAAGAGGTGAGTCTTACCCAACATTCCTCAGATCACATAGATGATACAGGACAAGAGGTGAGTCTTACCCAACATTCCTCAGATCACATAGATGATACAGGACAAGAGGTGAGTCTTACCCAACATTCCTCAGATCACATAGATGATACAGGACAAGAGGAGAGTCTTACCCAACATTCCCCAGATCATATAGATGATACCGGACAAGAGGTGATTCTTACCCAACATTCCTCAGATCACATAGATGATACAGGACAAGAGGTGAGTCTTACCCAACATTCCCCAGATCATATAGATGATACCGGATAAAAGGTGATTCTTACCCAACATTCCTCAGATCATATAGATGATACAGGACAAGAGGTAAGTCTTACCCAGCATTCCTCAAATCACATAAATGATACAGGACAAGAGGTGAGTCTTACCCAACATTCCTCAAATCACATAGTTGTTTAGGACAAGAGATGAGTCTTACCCAGCATTCCTAGGATCACATACATGATACCTTGATTTCATTTTTACTGGTCATCTTTTTCAACATAATTTTCAAGGTATTGACAGTCCCAAATGCATCTGTGGTTTTAAACAACAAACTACAAAGCATCTAATCTTCAAATGCCCTCTGTTGAATGTTATAAGAGAGAAACTTTGGGGGGAACTCAGGAACATGCCAGAAATGAACATTTTCTTTACAGGATGCTCTATAGAGCAAAAGCTGAATATCTTAATGTATGGCAGAGATGGAGTTAGCATAACATGCAATTCTTCAATATTGAAGCATTTTACATCCTTTTTGTGTGAATGCATTGATATAATTATATAGTTTTAACACATTCCTGCCATGCATACATATATGTTGGTAGTCATTTTGTTGCTATTATGTAAATTTGAATAAACTTTGTATTAACAGGGCCAATAATGCTGATTTCAGCCTCGGCCCTGTCATTTGTAGATAATTTTGTAAAGTAAAATAAAGAAACCATAAAAAACTAAAACATACATGATACCGGACAAGAGGTGATTCTTACCCAACATTTCCCAAATCACATAGTTGATACAGGACAAAAGGTAAGTCTTACCCAGCATTCCTCAGATCACATACATGATACCGGACAATAGGTGAGTCTTACCCAACATTTCCCAAATCACATAAATGATACAGCACAAGAGGTGAGTCTTACCCAACATTCCTGAGATGATACAAGATGAGGGATGGGTTTTATCCAATTTTCTTCAGTATTATCCAACATTCTACTTTCCTTGAACACATAGAATTTCCAAGTATTTGTTAATAAAGATGAGGAGATTAATGTTCAAACTTCATGAAATACTGCATATTTTCTATCAGATAGTTTTAATCGTGGTTTAGTCATACTGTAAATTGTTTTTACTTTTTCAGGTGCCAGGCAATAAAATGGGGGCCAGAAATCTAGCAACACTTTTTGGGCCAAATATTTGTCGCAAACAAAAAGGTGGCGCTGATAAAGAGTTCAGAGTTGAGGGAATCGAGATGGCAACTGAAAGCAAAGAAATCATACAGATTGTTGAGCACATGATTCTAAACATTGATGAGCTGTATGAGGTAAATGTTGTTATGTTGCTAGGTTTAGGTTTATGTTGTTATGTTGTTATATTGTTAGGTTTATGTTGTCATGTCTTGATATTTAATCTTGGATATATTCATAAGAGAACATTTTCTTCTCCAGTACGCAATTGTTTGAAGTTTTAAAGTTTTTAGTAGTTTTTTTAAAATCATGTCCAATGTACCTTCGTATTTATTTTTTATCATGTTCAAAAAAAGGGGTAAGTTTTTTTATCAAATTGAGACTCAAATGAATCCATTGTTCTATGGCCTGTATAATAACAGAGTATATACTGGATAGCGATCCCAAGGTAGTAGACTAATATGAATCTATCTAGCCTTATAATAAAATGTGTTGTTAGGTGCCTGCAGAGACCCATAATGAAATCCTGCAGTACATATTGGAGAGTGATCCTGAGGTAGTAGACTAATATAAATCTATTGTTTAATAGCCTTATAATAAAATGTGTTGTTAGGTGCCTGCAGAGACCCATAATGAAATCCTGCAGTATATATTGGAGAGTGATCCCGAGGCTGTAGACTAATATGAATCTATTGTTTAATAGCCTTATAATAAAATGTGTTGTTAGGTGCCTGCAGAGACCCATAATGAAATCCTGCAGTACATATTGGAGAGTGATCCTGAGGTAGTAGACTAATATAAATCTATTGTTTAATAGCCTTATAATAAAATGTGTTGTTAGGTGCCTGCAGAGACCCATAATGAAATCCTGCAGTATATATTGCAGAGTGATCCTGAGGTAGTAGACTAATATAAATCTATTGTTTAATAGCCTTATAATAAAATGTGTTGTTAGGTGCCTGCAGAGACCCATAATGAAATCCTGCAGTACATATTGGAGAGTGATCCTGAGGTAGTAGACTAATATAAATCTATTGTTTAATAGCCTTATAATAAAATGTGTTGTTAGGTGCCTGCAGAGACCCATAATGAAATCCTGCAGTATCTATTGCAGAGTGATCCCGAGGTAGTAGACTAATATAAATCTATTGTTTAATAGCCTTATAATAAAATGTGTTGTTAGGTGCCTGCAGAGACCCATAATGAAATCCTGCAGTATATATTGCAGAGTGATCCCGAGGTAGTAGACTAATATAAATCTATTGTTTAATAGCCTTATAATAAAATGTGTTGTTAGGTGCCTGCAGAGACCCATAATGAAATCCTGCAGTATATATTGGAGAGTGATCCTGAGGTAGTAGACTAATATAAATCTATTGTTTAATAGCCTTATAATAAAATGTGTTGTTAGGTGCCTGCAGAGACCCATAATGAAATCCTGCAGTATATATTGGAGAGTGATCCTGAGGTAGTAGACTAATATGAATCTATTGTTTAATAGCCTTATAATAAAATGTGTTGTTAGGTGCCTGCAGAAACCCATACTGAAATCCTGCAGTATATATTGGAGAGTGATCCTGATGCAGTAGACTAATATGAATCTTTTGTTTAATAGCCTTATAATAAAATGTGTTGTTAGGTGCCTGCAGAGACCCATAATGAAATCCTGCAGTACATATTGGAGAGTGATCCCGAGGCAGTGGACCATTTACTTAAGAGAAAGGGATCTCAGTAAGTAACATTAAATAAAATACTAGAGGTTGTCAGGCTGTCTCTTTTACAAAATGCAAATATTCTAAAAGAATTCGAAAATGTTCTTGTTCTGTAAAATGTACGCAAATCAAGTTTGATTTTAAGTAACTTTTGTGTATCAATTTCTTTCATTTTTTCGTCAGTGATGAATCATTCATTCAATTATACATTCATCCCAAAAAAGATAAAGTATGCAATGTGTCACACACAGTTCTAATCCTTACCTATGTAGTACCTGGACTGAGAATTTGGTATCTCACAATCTGAAGTTTTGATTTTTTTTTTTCTATATTATATTCTATATATTATTTTATATATTGCTTACATCAGTTTGATTGTAACTTTAAAATGCCACTCACTTTGAAGTGTTTGAAATATAAGGTTGCTTGTATCACACAAAAGAATTATGTTGTCAATAAAGAATTGGAGTTGTTTGCTTACTTCGACATGATTATTATTTGGTCATGAATCTTAAATGTCCAATCAAACATGGTTCGCAAGGGGAGTCTTATATTATTACGATATAGACTACTTGTTTTTGACAAATTGTAATAACATATATTTATCATGTATGTGTGTATTTAATGTTATATTTACACTGTATCAACTAAGTAGGGCCAGGTAAGAGGCCAAGCTGTAAAGGCACAGACTCTGTATCAGTTAAATATTTTTTAACTCATTGATTATTTCAGGATTGAAGTTGACTTGGACACTTCCAGCAGTATGTGGGAAGGAAGTGACAGCTCCTCTCTCCCACCTAGTTCACCAAATCCCACAGATACCATGGAGTTCCACCTGCCCACACGTGGCAGTGAGGGATCCATGACGTCACTGGGCTCTCAGAAGACAAACAGACCAGTGTTCACTTTAGACAGAAGCCCAGTGGCGGAGGTGACTGTTGAGACACCATCATTAGTGGTGCCATCTATAGACCAATCAAAGCATAGATTGAGTACCCCCGAGCCTGGATGGCTTAGCGGGGGTTCAACTCCTAGGACACCTAGCCCCACATTTGGTAGTCATGCTCGATCACCGAGCCCACGACCTTCACCTCTCCCCTCGAGGTCATCAAGGTCACCTTTACCAAGTCCAACCCCTGTGAGGACAAGATTAGGGCCAAAACCACCAAATTTACAAATTCTCCCAGATACAATGATAGACAAACGAGGCTTAATAGGCCCAGGGGGTCATTCCCCTGGCCCAGAGTCAATGTACCCTACCCCTCCTAGCAGTGCTAGTAGTACTAGTTCACCAAAATTTCGGCGGAAAAGTAACCCACATAATTTCATTCAGCCAACTTCTTCTGCACAGCGCCCCCTAGGTGTGGGTATGCTGGGTAGAGACCCAGAGTGGCAGCAAGAAAGGTGGCGCCACTGGGAAGAGTTAACACAAGGTGAGGAGAAGCTAGAACAGGAAACACTCGTCTGATTATAATTTTAAAAATATTTTTAGAAACTTGGTTTTTGGAAAGGTTCATGGATAACCATGCAGCTATTACTAATTAACCATGATTTTATAATTGAATATTAGTAGGTGTATTTATTATATAACTGACATTGTAGCCCATGGGACATGTAGACAGTGACTGTGAATTACAGGGAATATCCATTATAATATTCATAATCAAAAATCCACCAAACTGAAGATGTACCTTTTACACAGAATGTAATTGAATGCAAAAATAATTTTAGTAATACAGCATGTTATGCTTTAGGGCATGTATTTGTGAAACACGCCACTTTGCAGAAAGTCTTGCCTTTGTAATCAATACTACAGGTTTATATATATATGTCGAAGTATTGAGAATGCTTACAGACTATAACTAGGTGTAATTTAGTTCATTATCATATTTAAAAGGTGTTATGTAAGTCAGTATCAATTAGATGTGCATATCATGTATCATTCAAATGTAAAAGTGATTCAAGATTCACCAATTCATTCTCAGGCCTTAGGTGGCCTTAAAGTTCATTTTAGAGAACATGTTTTTATATACATGTGACTTAGTACTTGTTTAATCCTATGCAATATGTGTAACAGTGGTAAATGTTTTATCGTTAGCATATTCAAAATACTGTTGAATACACATGGTCAAATAGTGAGTTTTAATTGAAGTCGAATTGTGTGTGCACGAGGGGAATCTGTCCATCTTATGTATTTCTTGTTTATTTTTGTTTTTGTTTAAATTTTTGTAATGTAAATTTTTAAGTAACAGTATATTTTAAATTATGGGATTTTTATACTGTTTTTACTCTTGTTCAAAACCATAGTTGTGCCTTGTGTTTTACATGGTGTACCTGGAAAGGTGTGTACATTTTTATTCAAAATAACTTATATGTTTACGATGCAATGAGAGAAACAGTGTACATTTTAAAAAAATTTCACCAAATCATCAATGTCCAGAAAATGGCAAAGATGGCAAATTAAATAGCATCAACCTAAATCTAATTGCAGTTCCACTACTCACTGTGATGGATGTATACTTTTTATGAATAGTACGTACTGTATGTATATGTTTACCAAATTACCGTACACACAAATGATAACCCATTAGAAGTATTAAGAATCGTTTTAGAAAAAAAAGAAAAGGATTTGTGACTTTAAACTTGTACATTAGTAATATTAAATTAATTTTAGGCCAATATTGTTTTCCTATTTTATGATGTAGGTATTCATTGTCATTTGTCAATCTTATATTGCATACATCTACAAACCATTTTACACTGCAAAATTACAATAGTTCATTGTAGAAATTTTGGTAGGGTTAAATTGCAATAATATTTAACTGTGACATAGTTTTCAAATATAAGTATTATGAAGTAAACTATTAGCCCATATACAGCCATGGTGTTCAAGGTCATGTGACCATTTCAGCTTGCTCTGGTCATGTGATCTCTCACAGCACTTTGGTTTGTGACAATTGTAGTGTGCAAATTTTATCTGAATACCTCCATTTTGTTTTAGCCTTGTCATACAGTGCAAAGAAAGTGAAGCCAGTGAATACTAATGTATGTAGTGAACACAAAGTATATGTGAAATGAGCACTTGATTACAGTGAAACCTGCATGAAATAAACACTAGCTCCCAAAAACACAAATCTTTTATTTTTACAAGTAAAGGCTTTGTGTTATATTTATCTGAAGATCATTTATCAGATGTGCTAAGGTCTAACGAGGTCTGAATTTGATTGTTAAACAATTGAGATAAACTCCTGTAGACCATGATACATTGAGAGAGGTCACCTCACCTAACAAGCTTTGTATAAATACAGATATCAACAACATTATATTATTTCAATGCAAGATTATATTATATATTTATTTGTAATATTTGTAAATGCATCAACTAAATGCATCAACTAAATGCATCAACTATGTTGCAATGTAATATGGTTTGTATATCATCTAATACAGTATTATTATCTAACCGTAAACCATGTAATATTATCATACATAAATGAATAACAGAAATGAAATAAATAAATAATGTACATTAAAGAAAGATACATATAATTCTGTGTTCTTTAATTATCTGTAATTATCATTAATGTTCCAATATTAACATATTGAGGTAGGCAGAACTTTAGATTAGCATATTTAACCTCATTGTTCCAAATTGGTTATAGCAGGGGGAAGAAGGAGGTACGGATGCTGGATACCTGCTTGGGAGGATGATTTAACCTACATTCTTTACATTTAAACTAAGTTTCATCTAATGTTGCAGCTTACATTACAATACATACCCCAGGTGTAGAACATTAAGTTAGGAGTAGGAGAGGTAAATAAACAGTTTAGATACCAGCTGACAGGATCTACCTAAATGACCCACAAAAGTAGCTTTCATGGGTTTTAATGGCAGTTACAATGTGACAAAATGCCAGGTACTTACCACAGCATAATATTCAGTGAATGCTTATACTATTGGATGGTCAGATTTTGATCTATCATAACTAATTGGACAAAGGATTAACATCAACTCAGAGTGTAGTTTGTGCTCTATTATTTAAAAAGCAAAGCTGGAATATTGCAAAGGATCAGAGAATAGAGTAGATGCAAGGTAAAATACATAGGTTTTGGGCTGATATAAAGATGGCAGCACTAGCAGAATCAAAAGAATTATAGATGAACATGGATCGATTACCAGTATTTCTATTGACCTTAGCCTATGGTAAGATACTATCATAACTCCTTTCGTTTGATGTTAAAGAAGGTCAAGGTCATATTTGCATGGATTAGGTCATCAAAAAGGTAACTAAAACCATGAATTAAGAACTACATTTTCGGTACATTTTCAGCCTTATCAATTATATTGCACCTTTTCACACAAACAACTCTCTTCCACAAAGAATTACAAGAGCCCTTGTAAGAGGAAATTAGTACTGTAGATTGGGTTAATTTGGCGCTACTTACTTACATGTAATTTTGGCGATTTTGCCATTTTTAGCATATTGGCGGCTATTTAATTTGGCAGATATGCAAAAAATGTTAAACTTACGCGCTGTTTGCGAATTACCATGTAAATGGGCATGTTTGGCTATGTTCATTTTTTCTTTTGAGGACTATACCGCGCTTTTCCTTTCTAGTTTTCCCTGAGTATTAATGAGTGACTGACCAGTTCTGAGCCAATTTATGAAAGACATTTTTTCATATTTTTGGAAAAAACTAAACCGAAAGTGACCAAAAAACACTGGACGAAATACCCTAGATAATTCCCGGGGATTCATTCTAAATTTTGGCGAAGATTTGTATTGGCGAATTTTTCAATTTCGCCAAATTCGCCAAATTAAAGCGGGCGCCAAATTAACTCAATCTACAGTAATTGTTAATGACAATGTGCTGATTCTTGCTTCAGATTCCCCCAAAATTACAAAATGTATCACTGACATCTATCTTTTTGTAATTCAAACTTTAATAATATAATAGTGAATGACATTGTCTTTTTAACACATACAATGATTCAGCAGTGTACAATAAAACCTGTATATCCAAACACCTCTCTCATCCAAACACCCCTCTCATCCAAACATCTCTCAATGTGAACACCTTTTCCATGGATTCAAATATTGGGAAAACCTTGAACTGAGAACACCTGCTAATCCAAATACTTTTGGCTGGTCCCATTGGCATTCTGATAAGACAGGTTTTACTGTACTGTTAAAGTAATGTTAAAAGGGTTTCCATAGTAACATCATTCATTCCCAACACCAAAATAAATATGAAACATGTGACCACAATTGTGTTCCTCCATAAACGTCCTCAATAAACCAAGGTCCATGTGGTAGTTTCGATCACCATGACAATTAAATTCTTTCTCTTCAAAAACATCAAATTTATGCAACACTTTTTTATCATCATTTTCAATCGGAATATCCTCCTTTTCCTTGATTTGTAAACGCTTCCAGTTAAGATTTCTTAATCTCTGCCAATATTCTTCAACATTGCGACTATACCCCTCAACACATATAACTCCTGGCTTTCCTGGCATAGAAAATCCCACTAACTCTAACTCAGAGGCCCAATTGATAATATCCCTTCGTTTACTTTTACTATAAATATGATGACTATAAATCCAAATTCTTGTAAATGTTGTATCTTCCTTTTGAGCATTTTTTGATTGCTTCACACTAGCGCCATCTGTTGACTCTTGGTCGAGGTAGCTCCTGGCATTGTCTTGTAGAAATTGAACAATGCTTCCAATCATAGTTTCTCCAAGATCTAGAGTATCAATGAAAGATGCGATGTCCTCCCTGAGTTGTTGTTGGCTGGTGCGGCTGAGCTGTTTTGAGCGGATGAACACATTGGGCTGAACTGCAGGATATTCATGTGGCAACTGGCATACTAACTCCATCTGCCCCTAAAACACATATCAAAGCATGTACATGTACAATGATGTAAGTATATGAAATGATAGGTACAACTTAGAAGCACATAGATAAAACTACGAAGATCTCAATAACAAATTGCTAATATCTTAGGTGATCACTGTACAATTCCCAAGTGTAGTATGTAATAATGCTAGAAGTATCTTAACCCACATAATCTTGTCCAATTCCTTGACCACCTTTGTATGCACACTTCAATAGTTAATCCATTGCCATGGTAACAGATATTTCACAAAGTCTTAACACCCTTCTCTCGTAACAGCTATATATGCATGAACATTTAGACATTTGTTATCAGATGAATTGTCAGATAAATAAATGCCTCAGTTTATTACCAAAAATGTTACATAGTCAATTTATTTGTTGCCATATGGCAAAAATCAAAAATCGTGAATGGTGAGTGATATTGTGCCCATGACAGCCACGTTGACATAACTTTACCCGCATTCCGGCGAGTAATGTCAATCTGTCGAATATTTCAGTCAAGCCTTCCCCACATTTATTGTGACAGGTCATTTATTCAAAGCTTTTTGAAATCGCACGACCTTTAACACACCTTTTCTCCATTTTCAGCTTCAATTTCAAGGTTTATAGTCAGACCAATTCTTGCGGAAAGGAATTCATAGTCAACATTTCCATCAAGAAACTCTTGTATTTGCACTATGGAGTCCTCATCATCCAATGTAAACTCCCCAGGGTTACAATACATGCTTCCCAAAAACTCCACTTCAGAAACTTGGATTTCTAACATTTCTTTCAAATGTTCGGTCTTTTCCATTGTTGATACACCTGTGTCTCCCATGTGAACTTATACAACTGTACTTCAAACATGCAGAGAGCGAGTGATTTTAATTACATATGCGTATGTAAGCCTTAATTACAGTGTAACTCTAAATTAATTAATTTTTTAAAACTTTGTTGACACCAATCCTAGTGGCGCTCTCTGGTGTGATACACAACTTCCGGTTAAAAATGAAAGTTTTAAAACTTTTGATCCGTTTCGATTATTCGACTAATCTGGTAAGTATTGCAGACCTGTTAACATGGAAACACGTAAAATGAGTGACTTACAAATGTTGAACACCTTTTTTCAACTTGTGAACACCTTGGTGCAAATCTGAATACCTTCTTTTTTGGTCCAAATTTTTAACACTGACTTGGTTCAAATTTTATTCCATAGAGTCTGTATTCAAATTTTGGACACCTCAAATTTCACAAACTCCATCAATGGCTGGGGGAGCAGAAGTTGCGTATTTGTCACGCATTTGCTGAAAAATTTGAAGTCACGCCAGTTTTTATTGCGTGACAGAGTATGTCACGCAAAGGACCTTATACACCCGCCATTGGGATCTCCCCATGGGAAAAAAATAATTCATCTGATTTTTCAAAATGAGTATTCTGCTTCAATTATTACACTTATATGCACACTAGTATCTTGTTGACCTATAATTAGCACTGTATTGATGTATAGGCCACTTATTAGGGTCATAATTCAATCATGAAGTGTAGAGGCATAGATTCCAAACCAGGAAGTATTTTTGTGTCTGTCAAAATCCATTTACATCCTACGCATCCCTGCATCTTATCCAAATATGTTACTACATGTACATAATGAAATATAATAGTATAATCTTTGGTTTTACAAACTTGTATGATATTTGATAAGTGTAAAAGTTGTTTTTGGAGCATTTTTCTATAGCCATTTTGTAGGGAAAAAATTATGAAAAAATGTACAATCTTTTAATTTTAAGTATGACCTGAATCAATTGCAAACTTCATATTTGCACATTTGATGAGATAAACCATTTGTGTCGTATTGTGAAATTATTAAGTTTGCAATCGATTCAGGTCATAGTGTATTTTTGGTATTTCTGTGATAATCAATTGAAACCAATGGCCTCTATTGGGATCTGCTGATATCCTCATCTTAAGTTAATGGTTCACAGCCCCATGTAAGTCAATACAACCTTACTGAACGAAATGATCCCTATCTCAGCTTATGTGTGTCCGAGCACTTTAATATTTTCCAAGGTATTATATGACATTTTATTCTTCATGTTACACCTACTAATGATTCATTTTGACCATAGGGATATTTGCCAATAATTGCACCTTGTCCTTTGCATTTTACCTGATTATTGTCCAGCAAAAATATTCCTGTAGAAAAATTTTCAAAAATGATCGGCAATACACCACAAAACCGATCGACGAAAGAAAACGAACGCATTTCGTTCGGACTTTTCATGCGGACCGTATATGTCACGTATTTTGCCTGAAATATTTCCAACCCCCCCTGTTGACAGATCGCTAGCGTAGTGAGCGTTAAAAATTTGAGGTGTCCAAACTTTGATTATAAATAAAATTTAAACCAAGGTGCTCAAATTGTGGCCAAGCTGTTCAGATTTGGACCAAGGTGTCCAAAATTTGAACAAAGGTGTTTAACATTTGCAAGTCACTCATGTTAGGTGTTCCCAAGTTGACAGGCTTGCATATACAATGCACATGAACATTTCGAATGAAAAATCTGCATTCATCAATCGGATGTTCTTCTCCTGAAATTTTTTTGCTTGACAATAATCAGAAAAATGTGTATTTGCGTGATATGTTCTGTCATGCAAAAAGAAAACGGGCGTGACTTCAAATTTCTTCAGCAAATGCGTGACAAATACGCAAATTACAAGCCCCACAAGACAGTTGGATGGCCTGGTATTGTAAGGTTTAAGGTGAAGGCTAAGTAAATCAAAAGTACAAAATGGCAGCCATATTTTTTTGATAAAGACACATGGTTTTAAAATCTGTTTTCCTTGTATATGAATATATATTTTGACTAAAGAGACATGTCAAAGTGATTATCACACATAAACATATTTCTCCTACATGTAGGTATATGGGACCCTAAAGCTAATATGAAAACTATGAAGTGAGGTAAATTTCAAGGAGTAGGGGTGCTTCGGTGTCACATTTGTAAGACTCCAAAATTTCCACAAATCATCTTACCTTACCAAGGAAATCAAAGGAGCATGAAAATATGTACTTAACTGAATTGTTAGAGTATAATAAAGCTTGAACCATTGTGAATTCTAAATATTTCTACCATTCTTTTTGCTGGGACTATTTTTTAGTCCAGAGTAATCCTCATTCATGTATCCATTTATAAAGCCTAATTTATGTATCTCTCATGATAATAGATAAAATAAACTAGTGATGTATTAATGCGATATCAGATCTCACTCATAATGCAGTAGATCTGCAACACTATTGTTGCAAATCCAGCAGGAATGCAGTATGGCCCAATCAGGGTGGATGAAAATATATTTTTTCTATTTCCCAAATTAGCATCATTTACATGTGGTTTAACTCTTTTGGAATTTGTTGCATTCACGTCCCCGAAACTACCCTATCAGTATATGTAAGTCACTTCTGATATGTAATCAGGAGGTCCCAACCAGGGTGGAGTGACTTTTTCACATGAACCCTTAGAATAGGATTTGATCCTATGTTTCAGATTAATTAAGTACTGTAGATTGGGTTAATTTGGCGCTACTTAATTTGGCGACTTTGCCATTTTTGGCATATTGGCGGCTACTTAATTTGGCGGATAAGCAAAAAAATGTTAATGCAATGTTAAACTTACGCGCTGTTTGCAAATTACCATGTAAATGGACATGTTTGGCTATGTTCATTTTTTCTTTTGAGGACCACTGGCGATATTCACCACGTTTGTACATTTTTGTGAGATCATCCTTTACATTTTGCACCTTGATCGATGCTGCTTCTATACCGCGCTTTTCCTTTCTAGTTTTTCCCTGAGTATTAATGAGTGACCGACCAGTTCTGAGCCAATTTATGAGAGACATTTTTTCATATTTTTGGAAAAAACTAAACCTGGAGTGACCTCAATACACTGGACGAAATACCGTAGATAATTCCCGGGGATTATTCTAAATTTTGGCGAAGATTTATATTGGCGAATTTTTCAATTTCGCCAAATTCGCCAAATTAAAGCGGGCGCCAAATTAACCCAATCTACAGTATATGTAAGATTGTAATAACATAAAAAGACAATGTTAGAAAATCAAAAAATCAACCAGATTACTGTAATTTAGTGGATCAGGCTTAATCTTAGTGTATGTATTTTCAGAGTTAACATATTATATTGTAGACCTAAGTATGATGTGCAGTTAGGGACAACAGGAGGGTTGGAGGATGTCTGATTCCATAACAAGTGACTCAAGCATCCAAGAAGACATTCCTGACAACCACCAATCAGCAAGGTACATGTTATTGTAACGACCCTCAATAGCAAGTTGCTACTATGGCCAAGCTGTAGTGGCTTATGCCTGTACTGATTTATAGCTCATTTGGTAGAGCATCAGACTTTGGATCCATGGGTCCTAGGTTCGATTCCCACACAGGGTATTGAATTTAGCACACTTTCTTTCAATTTCTTTATCTGGCTTGTTCCACCATACCAGATGTCTCTGACTATACTAGATATGGTACTCGTTAGTAATAGTAAGTCATTCCCCTGGGGCACCCTCGGGTCATTACGTAATCATGGTAATGGCCATAACTATGCCTCTTGAGTTTCTTTAATTTCAATCATTAATGAGTCTGATATTTTATTATAAGTTTAAAATGATGGGCTTTCTTATAATTTCTGTCAAATAACAGAAATATATTTTCAAACTTGACATAGGACCTTTAATGGATCACATGTAGTTTCTTGGTAAATGAAACATGTTGTTACAAATGTATTAAGTTCATTTTTTCTGACAGTTCTATAAAAAAATATTTGAAAAATCTCCATTCATTAGAATTTGAGAGGGTGTTGAAATTGAGGAAACCAATGGCAAATTTGTAAAATTCAAACTTTAGATTGGGCCTTTAATGGATCATATATGATTTATTATTTAGAAGTGAGAACTACCTGAGTAGTTACTACCAGGAGAGTTTTGAGTCAGCATCCACACTTAGCATCAGCAGCAGATTCAACAGTCAGCAGAGTGATTCAAGCTACAGTCAGGGAGACTTTGTAAGTATATTCAATTTACATCATTTTGCATCTGGTATATCAAGTTTCATCAAGGACTTTAGAAACCATAGCTAGAATTACTTACCATAAGTCTGTGGTTACATGTACACACATGTACACACATGTTTTCATAGGTTAAAGGCCCACTTTGCGTATTTTCAATGTTTTTTGGCAAAATAAAGACTTTTATATGAACCTTATCTTATATTTTATATGAGAACCTTATCTTTCATTTGACACCAACAACAGCTCAAACGGACCACCTCAAAGCTCACAATAATTAATCAAAAAATATTTTCGATTTGTCAAGCTTTATATATAAAGTTTTAATCAATGTCATTGAAAGATGGCGAAGTTGTTTGTATTACATGATACATTCATTTTTATAGAAGTGTTGCCATCTTTTAAATCAAAAGTAATTAAAAACATGCACCTTTTTAGCATGTGCATGCATGTATAATGATCTCTGAACTTCTTTTTTCTATGTGTGTTATTTTTTTCTTGGTTCAATATTAAAGCAAATCAAACTTTGTGTCGTATTTGAGCGAGTGTGTGAGTAATATGTTTCAATGATAATTATTTTATTTTTTCTTCTAAATTAAGTATAGTTGGCCTGTTAATTCACCCATATCACAATTCCACAGAATAAGAAATTCCAGTAAAAGAGAAATACATGTAGAAATAAAAAGACTAAAGCACTTCGATGGAAAACAAATGCACGAAAAACCAATAAACTGAATGTAAATACATTCCAGTTTTCATGATTTACCTAAGATATTATTATAAGGCAGGGGTTGAAGAAGCGTAGAGTATTTTAAACTGTTAGAAAAGCAGGTAGGTGTAGTTTAATTTGGTAGTCTGTGAACATTTTATAGTGTTTCCTTATCTGCCAATATGCCTATCACGTTCTAAGTGTATTGAGGAAATCTTGAATTGTAATGAATGGGAGCAAGGACTCGTATAGATGGCAGTTAATTACTAGGTTGTTGTTCAAATCTGGCCCATTTGTTTGTGTGTAAATATTGCTGTTTTAAAACTTCAAATTCACTGCATTTATCAAATAAATATCAAATTCTCCTTCATTATTATTTACTGACAAACTGACATGTTTTAAGGTTAAAAATCATAAGGTTTTGGACATTTTCAATAAAATTTATCTAATGAGATTTTTAGAGCAATTTTTACATGTTAAAGTATGCTATTAAACCCACTGAATTTTATGCCATCTATTGACAGTACTGAAGGCCGGCCATTGGCAGCCATTCTTTTAGTTTTTATTCAACAATGTGGGATTAACTTAAGAAATATTTAGATTTTGAACAAAGAATCTATATTTAACCCCACATTGTTGAAAACTTGAGTAATATGGGTGAATTTGTACAATTGAATGTTTGTCAGGTGTACTGGGAGCGTGATAAGCGTATTTGCATGCGAGGAAGTATTACAGAACATTCATAGACAACTAACTAAAACAAGACCTACCTAAACTTAAAAAGTATAATAATATAATCCATAAATCTATATCTATAAATAATAAAATAAAATGGTAATTTTTGAAATGTATTTCCTTTCGTGTATGTAAAGAAAATACTCAACGCATTTCCACCCCTGTTTGTGGGATACTGGAAGTTAAATTAAATCAATTGATTATTAAATATTATAATATTTATTATGTATTATAGGAGACAGGGGATGAAACTTCACTTTCAATAGAAGATGACTTTATCCAAATGAAATTAAAACTTTTGAAAAAGAAAGCAAAAACTGGTAAGCTGTCCTCCACCTACATATATAAACAGTTGTCCAAACAGTCTTATTTATTACTCATTTCTTTGTAAACCAAGAATCACCAATTCAAACATTAATTGTCATTGCTGACATCATGAGAATTCATGACCTTCTATAGGTTTTCGTTCAGAAAGTATATTGGTAGTTGAAAAACAGATGTGATGAGCACTAAAGTGACTGACCAATAATCTGTGGCCACCTTTTACGAAGCAAATCTGAAGTGACTGCTTAAAGTTATCAGAAATTACAATTTAGCGCAGATGAAAAACCATCACAGCCATCCTTTGCATGTCCTGATTCATAGTTGCCAAAATACTCATCAACATTTCTAATTTCAGATGACTATCATGGCATTGTAAGTGATATGAAAAACAATGGACTTCAAAGAGCAGCGTGTGAAAATATGTCTGATATCCCAGAAGCAAGAGACTTCATTGAAACCAAACTGACCTCATTGAAGCAACAAGGTAGAACTAGTTTTCCTGTCTTTCATTTCATTATTTATTCTTTCATATAATTTTCAGTTGTGCTTTTCAACTCCATTGATAATGTATTAGATCATCAGACATTGTCATGTTAAAATCAAAATTGTAAAAGTAGCTTCAAGTCATATCTGTGTATCACTTTAATGATAACCATTGGATAATATCCATTGGAATACAAATATATCCCAGTGTATGCAGCTCTGCCCTTACTTAGTTTGCACAAAGCTATCTCCCGAGAGAAAGCTTTGCATATGTTGATATACCCAGTCCATGTTAAAGGTATACAAAAATGTAAGAAATTGTGGGGACACTTACACTACTTCAATCGATGCATAACATTCAAAAGTATCGTTTTCCTAACCCTATCACGCGATCCAGAGTTGGGAGACAGTATAATTGAAAAAGGAACAATTGCTTCGTCTCATCAAAACTTTTAAAATGTGCACCATTAAAAAGTGATAGCCCAAAAATGTTTTTTGGCCCACCCTTTTCATAAAAATAAATCAAAACTATACAGAATTTTACATTATGTTATAGAACTTGTGTTACACGTGAGCAACAATATCAACATATTCATTTAAATTACCACTTTTCCACAGGTCAAAAACCATTGATTGATACCAAAGATGAGGATTTGCAGAGGAAGGATAGACAAGAGAGGTACATTCCCAGGAGAATCGTTGATCGCCTTGCAATAACCAACCTCCTTCATAACTTCAGTAAGGTAAACAGAATCCTGACTAGGCCTACTCCTTACTGCATTCGATTTTATATTTAAGTTACAGCGAGTAAAACCTGTCTAAACTTTGTGTTGAATTCTGTTTTAATTGTGAGCTGTTCACATTTGAAGGTTTTTTGGTCAACAGAAGGAAATATGTGACTGGAGAAAAGTGTTCACATTGGGTAGTGCACAAATATCAAGGTTTCACTGATTTCAAAAAAGAATGTTGTGTACCTATTTTTTACCACCAAAAAGTGTTTACATGTTGTTATGGTCTCCAATTTTTGTAACGACGAGTGGCAGTTGGTGATCGGCGTTTGGTGGTTGGTGTCTGTCATAAATTCTTACAACTTCCAATAACTTAACAAATACTGTTTAGACTGACTTCAATTTTTTTCAATATCATCTACAAGTTAGAAGAAGTTCAAATCTGACTTTAGATTTAAAATTTAACTTCAAAGAGCTTCTCTAGGTAAAAAATGTTAAAAAAGGTCAAAAGGGTATTTTTTCAACTTACTTCAAATTGACCAATTTTTTTTTCAAAATTATCTACAAAAAGTTTCCAGAAATTCAAATCTGATTTAAGATTGGACTCATAATATTGTGACATTTTGTCATATTAATGCCTTGTTATTCATTGCTGGAGTTTTGATATTTCAGGCAAATTCTACTGCTATACACCAGCCAGAGAAGTGCTTGAATTGCAGGTACATGTATGTGTGTATTACTTATAACTTCAACGAAACGCAGCTTAAATATATACGAGTACATCTAAAAGCAGTTTTCCTGAATTCTTTGAAAGTTTATATCATATTGATTATTGTATTGTATTGATGCTATCAGGAATTATTTATGAGTGCTCTAGGAGGGAGAAGTGCTCAATAAACGATGTCAATTTTATGGAGTTTTATGCTAATAATTGACACCATTGGTTCCTACTCAAACTTTTGCCTCTTTTTGGAGAAAAGATTTTTGTCATCAAAATATAAGGAATCACCCTGTAGTCCCTGGGTCACATTTGCTCTGATTCATTGTCTGGCGCCTGGCCGATTGCATATTTTGCTCAAAACTGAATACAATTTTGAACAAAATACTTAATCAGCTGGATTCCCGTGTTAAAGGGTAGGAGGTCCTATCAAAGTATGGTCCTACTCTCCATTGATTTATATGGTGACCTAAATACAACTCTTTCCCTTATTATCTTATAAGCAATCAGGGCCAGTAAGGGCTGTTTAGAAAGGGGACCATAATTTCTTTCACACTGGCCCATGATTCGGAGCAAATGCGACCAAGGTATAATGTATTGTACATATTGTTGTGTTCATTGTATTTTTAGAAGTCGGATTGAGAATGTTAAAAAGAAGGAATATATTAAAGGAAAAGTGGCCCAACTTCAATCTGAATTAATTGACAAAAAAGTGGAACACACACTGCTAACAAAGGTGAGCCAATCCAAGTCAAATCAAGAATGGGTCTGATAGTTCTGGAAAATATATGTAGTATTAATGATGATTTCGGTAGCCATCTTGAATTTCCACCAAGAAGGTGTATGATCCGTGCTAGGCAATTTGGAACAGAGTATTTTGAATCATAATGTGTTAAGCACAATTTCTTTTTCACAGAACTGAATTGGTTTATTCGATGGACGTTTCAACATCCAACATAACTTGCTTTTTTGCAATGATTAATTTTGGTTTTTATGCCCCCACCAAGAATAACAACTTCAATAATGTATTAGAAACCATATTTTTTGTGGTAGCAGTTTGGCTTGGAATTTTGTTATGATAATTCATATCAAAAACAACTTGAAGAATTGAACTCTCATACAATTAGATAATCTTCAATTCCTTTAAAGTCCTATAAAATTTTAGTTTCACATAGGTATAAATCTCATATGAGTAAACTAATTTGTTTTTCATCATTTCAACAAATTCTGTTGATGGTATATCATTCAAAGAACCGTTCCCAGAGTTGCGAATCTTATTCCTCATATAAATTTCTGATATTGTAGGAAAAAATGTTGGCAGTAATTTTTCCATTGCTTTAAGTGTATTGGGAAGGTCTTCAGTGAGTCCTATTAATATATGAGTATCTATGTGTTTCTTTGCTTTACCTATAGCATAATCTATATCCATAAAGCATTTGGAGTCATGCCCACAGAACCATTTCACATATAGTTCTGTGTCCACGTCACAGTTTTTTAATTCCTCCATATTTTCTGATACGCACTGTTCAAATGTTAGGTTCTTTTGATATTCCGTATATTTTCCTGGTAGTCTTGAATAATGTCCTTGTAGTCTGTTAAAGTAGTACAGAGACCTGGCTTGTTCAAAAGGATCCCTAATGATGTTAATGTACATAGGCTGATGTTTCCCAAAGTGACTGAAGTCAACGTAATATAGATGTCTGTTGTATATGTATTTCAAAGGTACTATTTGGTTATCCTTACCTGGATATGTTTCAGTTGTCAATGTTTTAATTTTTTTGATAAATTCTTTAATTTGTTTATTGTTCAAATGCCATGTGTGATAGTCTTTTGATTTTATGACTGAATATCCAAAATATTTTGATGCTATCTGTAGAAGTGTTTGCATATATGTAGAAGCACATTTCGGCACTCTGTTATATATAACAACAGTGGGATTTAATTTATTATGGATTTTATAACTTTCTATATTGCTTCTATGGGCAACCTCTGAAAGAATTGCTGATGAGACTCCAGAAAAATTATTTGAAGTTGATTGAAGTGTTTGTAATGCAGGAAATTTACTCTTCCCAGATTTATAACCGTTCACCTTAGTTCCAAAAATGGAAATTCTCGCAGCAGAAGAAATACCTCCTCCCTGTGTGATATTCTCAGATGCTTTCCAATCTGCATACTTTATCTGCATACGTGCCATTGCCTGATGATTTTTTCTCTCATGTTTAGCAACTATTCCAGTCCATATGAACAAATGAAAGCATATATTAGTGATAAAAAGAAGTCCAATAAGAGAAATAATTGTCTTTTTCATTTTCTTGAACTAAAAATAGTCTTTACTTCATAATGTTCTCAGAAAATAGATTTGCATATTAAAATATACACTTAATATAATAAACACTCTAAATAAGCTTGTTTAGTATCATATCATTACATGATTTGTGTGATTCAAGATTTGTGTCAGACAAACTAAGATTGACAAACTACATGTTTTATTAAGGTAAGAGTTGGAACATTAAAATTGGAGCATAAATCACTTGTAAAAAAGGTTTAGTCGAGAGAGAAAATATTTGTTTGGCATGTTTTTTTTTATCTAGAATCTACATAAAAATAATGCCAGTTAGTTGCAATTCAGAAAAAATGTGATTTGAGGTGTATTGTTTTGTTTTCACACAAATTAGTGTTTTATACACAGCTAGGCCATAATAACATAATTCCTAATTTTGGAAATATTTCATTCTCTTACCTCTCGACAAAAAAGTAATGCTGAACATATACTTAAATTACTTTAGCCTTGGCCTTCTGCATAGCATGGAGTCAATAATTGATGTACTGCCCTTGGCATGTTTATATGTGTAATTAAAAATGACTGTTATACTGACATACAGTAAAACCTTTGTACAGTGAACACATATCAAGCCACATGTATTCACTGTAGGAAGGTGTTCACTACAGAGAGGCCATTTTATACATAAATCAGTGGGGTAAGAAGGGGTGTTCACTAGACATAGGTGTTCATTAGCGAGAGGGGTTCACTGAGTCAGGTTTCATTGTATTTCGTCTTTTTACAGTAAAACCTGTCTAATCTGAACACCACTTGGTCAGACATGTACAGATTGGCAGCTGGTCTCAATTCAAGCTTTTTACAGATTAAAAATAGGGATAGGAATTTATCTCGTACCAAGACCATCTTTTTGAAATGTAATTTAGCTTCCTATGCAATTGGTGCAAGACCAGAACGAAGGGATGTTCTTGGTCGAGATAAGAATAAATCATTCAGATGATATTTTGATATATAGGTTTTACTGGACCTGCATGTACTCAACAATTTAATAATATGAAATTGATTTCAAAACATCATGAGGCATAATAATGCTGATATCTTAAATACACATGGACGGCTGTGAGGTATTGGCTCTTTGACACACACATTATGGTAAAATCAATAAACACCATGTGTGTGTATAATTTTTTATACAAACATTAACACCAAAATGATCATTTTGTGCCACTCTCAGCATTTTGACAATATAAATGTTTACAAATTGATTAATTTATTTTATTTCCAGGACAGTCTATCTCGAATAGGAGAACTTGTACAGATGTTACCCAATCTCAGGAAAGCAGACATTACTCCTTCAGTAGAAGAGAGATGTAATAAGGAGATACCACGCAATGTAATAAAGGGTCATAAGTCATAGTGGACGTTCAATAATAGCTGTTTTTATTTGGAATCTCATTAAAATGACATCAAAAAGTATAATGTTATGGAAATTGATTAATTGCCACAAATGTGCAATATTTTTTGCTCTCCGTGTCATGTCTATTTTTGAAAAAGATAATTAGAAAATGATAAAGTAAACACTAATCTACCTCAAAGCACATCAGTATTCTGTATATAATGACATTAATAAAATAGATCGAATAAAACATTTATTTATAATTTCTATATTTAACAATTCGACAGTTCTGTTGCTTTCTGTATATTTACTCATCAACATAGCTTGAGAATGTGAGATTCACTTTGAGTTGAACACATAAAGCCCTGTGCCTTACCCATGTCTTACCCATGATACGCCACACAAGCTCACATCATGGCTGTTGAACACCCGCTATTAACAAACTATATTATATAATGCTCAGGGCCTTAGCATTAGGAATGATCTTTCGTTATAATGATTTTTAAAAAATCTCAAGTAAAATAAGATTAGTGTCAGAATGAAATGAATTACACATGACCTGAGACTAACATGTTATGTTAGTCTTAGATATTACAATTCAAAAAGTAACATCTAAGTATAACTGAGTCGTGACGCATCTCTGCATCTTTGAGAATCAATATTTTATGGAGTGCATTTTTAAAACCTAAATCTCCAATACGTCAAACAGATTTGTGTCAAAATTAATGTGATCAAATGATTTACGAATCAACAATGAAACAGCTAGCCTTATATGTTTTAAAAACAACATTTAATTCACTTGGTGAAAAAGTGAAAATAATATAGAATTACAAGGTAATATTTTCTTTCTTTGGTTACCATAGCAACCTGTGTCTAGGGTGTCCGGAGCAGTCGAAAAATAAGAGTAAGTAAGTAGTAAGGGGCGTTTCAATATTTCTATGTATGTCAAAAAACGTAATTAATTACATTATAGACTGTGGACTACTCTGATAATTGCAACTTCCATTTTTCATGGAAGGTCACACATTCCAACATATTTCAAACAGTCTGTATGATTATGCTAGGCACTTTCTGGGTAGTTGGACTTCATGTAGGGGTGGCAGACGGCCCTCAGGCCAATTCATACCCCCACCCTAAGAAAACCTTGGGGGTACTTTAATACCACCTGATAAAAAGAATACTAATGCATGTCATATATTCATAGTTTTATAGTAGGCAGAGCATACCATGGTAAGTCAGTGCCAGAAATGTCCAATCTCTAACTTATATGGTTACCATGGAAACAATATTTATATCTCAAAATCTTCTCAATTTGACCTCCTCCAAAATATGTCCTTTAGCCCTCAAAGTGAAATATTTGCAAATTTGTTTGGATTTTGTGGCTGCAACATTGTCAAAAGTTGTATAAATATGTATATATTCACACTAAAGCACTAAAAAGTTGATATAATGCTCCAATAAATCAATAATATCTATCAAATATAGTCACACACAACTACTTTTAGGGAAAAGTGGGCGTGGCACTTTTTGGAACTTGTGTAATTGATGCAGCATTAAGCAAAAAATACATATTACACTAACAATAATTGACATTTAATTATCATTTACTAACATTGTGTAACATTGTAATATGTTCATTATCATTATTAGATACTTAAATTATTTATGTAAGTGTTATCATGAACTTTCCTTTTATCCCTATACCATACAAGGTGGGCATCACCAATGGTGTCAAACTAACTTTTCTGTTTAACTTATTTTTTACCATAGACAAGGGAAAAAGCTTTACTTGAAGTCGTGACCTCATTAGGTGCTATGTATATGGATAGATGGATTGATACTAGTCGGTAGATGGCAGCACTTGTGCTAGTTGGGCTAGATACAAGTATTTACCATTGACTTGACATGTGTCACTTAGTCTATTGATTTACCATATTCGTTCTGTTGGATTAAAGTAAAACTGCATTTGCATTGAATTTGATGATGTTCAGATTGTGTTTGAAACTTGATGATAATCAGAAGTGTTTGAAACTGGATGTTGTTCAGATTGTGTACACATGAACTTTAATAGGACCACTGAAACAATAAGTCAATGTTTAAGATTCTTTAAAATTATCTCAATGAGAATTTAGCCTGTTAACCTATAGTTAAACTACACTTCAGCAAGATTTCGAAGCTATATAACAAATCTCATAATTTGCAACTTTTTCATTATTTGATAATTTAACCCATTATTCTTTATTGCTGATTTAAAAATTGCAAGGAATTCAAATGACCTAGGGAAGCCAGTGATATGAATTGGCCTTATTCATTGAGTTACATTCAAATGGAAAATTGTGAAGAACAAGAGAACTGTTCCACGGCTTCACAGGAAATATGGAAGCAAAGTCAACAAGGGATGTGGGAACTAGGCTGTTAACATATAGAGATTTAGAACTCTCCAGGGAAGTGTCTCTATTTGGTATAAAATACACAGGTCTATTCATGCACACCATTTTAAATATGAATCAAAATTAGTGATATCCATGTTTCTGGTGAAAGCATTAATTGAAAGAGACAAACATCCTACCCCAATGGTATAAAATATAAGGAAGTTCGAAGCAGTAAAAAGGTATTACCATTTTAGATTTGATTGAACAAATTGAATCAGAGGCAATTTTTAAATTTCGATATATTAAAAGAGGCTCTCTTGGTTAGATGGGAGAATTAGCTGCATGTTAAAGGTGCCGCTTTGTTCAGTTTATAACAAAATTGATATTAAGCCCGAAACAGTAAGAAATGTTAAGCAAATATTTCATTCTATGGAGGGCAATACCTGTTCATCTTTCAATGATTTTTGCAATATGTATTGCCCGCAGCCCGTAGGGCGATGGTAATACATGTTGCAAAAATCATTGAAAGTGCAGTTGTCAGAATCCCCAGGCGGGCAATACGCTGGACAATACGTCTTTTAGATATGGAAATAATTCAGTGAGCTGTGAAATACACTGGTATTTTTAGTCACATGGTTCTGAATTAGCCAATCAAATCACACGATTTATAGCAATGATGCAATAATTAGTGCTACTTCCATGAACACCCGTTTTGTAGAATAAGATTCTGATTCTCGTATTTGGTATATATGAATTAGACAAAGGCAAATCCAGTCGAACATCTTGTTGAGCATCAAACAAAGGTACAAGCTATATATCATTTCTCAAAATGGCCACTTTACTGAAGAAATGTCAAAAGATAATATGTATCATGTTTTAATGTATTAACGTTTAAATATAGCTGTCTTAATAAGTACACATGATGAAAATACAGGCACAAACAAAATGCATACTTTCTGAAACCCTGCGTTTGGATATTGATAAATTGAATGATATTGGCTAAAAACTTCTGTCAGAATTGAAACAATATTTCCCCAAGAAAAGTCAACATTTCAAAACAACAGCAATAGCTAGAACTATCCTATTTAGATGTTTACTTGACAGTATGGAAAATTGGGGAAGCCTGACAGAGAATCATAACAGATAGAGGTAGAAAGATTTGATAAAGAAAATGGAGTTTTGGTGTGGGAGGGGGGGGGGCGTGTAATTGTATACTTGTTTATAAAATTGATAAAATGACATATTCTAGACAAGGATAGGCATTTGCCATAATAAACTATGAGGGATAATGACTCATAAACTTACACAATGGAGATTTGGGGTAGTAATATGGAACATACGTTATATGGAAACTGTAACCTTATAAGATCTTGTCCAGTATTTCAGTCATACCTGATTATAAAGGACCATTGATGTTACAGCATCAGGGCATATTACATATAATATTTAATCATGACCATCATTTCTACTGTGCCAAAATCATTCAACCAATTTTAAAATGGAATACGAGAACAAGATTTCTTATTTTAGGTTATATTCATATGTCTAATAATATTTGATATTAAACATATTAACTTTTATTGTTTTTATACACTAAACAGATTTGTTTAGATATTATTTTAAGTTTTAACATAACAAACCACTTTCCAGGTCGAAGGAATCACTAAAGGTACAGCATTTCAGAAATGTGTAAATTGTTTATATTTCATTATTTTGTGAAATACTAAAAGGATTTTTACCCGTACCTTGTTGACCATGAGTCAATGAATGCATTATGTAATATCTGCAAAATGATGCACTATGCAATTCATACATGGAATAATTTATTTTGCCATATTGGAATCAAGTATTTTCGTTAATCCATTGGATAGATCATACATTACCTGATGTTGATAATAGAATCAGTTAGTCAATTGTAAGACACCATTTATCCGAGAAAATCTTAGTTATGTATTAAGGCAGGGCATAACATTTCACATATCGTTTATTCATGTTTACTACATCTATGGTTCCAATGTCATTTAAGCCTGATTTGGTGCAAATGTCAAAGCATAACATCAACTCTAATTAGTTTAATTCAATGAAAATTAAAAATATCAAAATCGACAATTACTGTCCGCCATCTTAGATGCGAAGGTTACGGCCGTTACCTTCACTTGGTACTGATCATGATCAGTGTCGGTCCATTATTTTTCAATTGCATAAAATGGCTCTAACCCTGACAAATGTATTAATCAATTTTAACTCATAGCTCTTGATCAATGAAACTATTTATATTCTAGCTTCAAGTCAATGAATACGACTTTGACAAGCTAAAAAGACTAAGGACCTCTAGGACTTAAAAGTTAATTTGACCATTAATGACCTATGATAGGGAAGGGTCATGATAACACTTACATAAAATATTTAAAGTATCTAATAATGATAATGAACATACTACAATGTTACACAATGTTAGTAGATGCTAATTAAATGTCAATTGTTGTTAGTGTAATAAGTATTTTTCGTTTAATGCTGCAAGAATTACACAAGTACCAAACAGTGCCACGCCCACTTTTCCCTAAAAGCAGTTGTGTGTGACTACATTTGATAAATATTATTAATTTATGAGATCATTATATCAAGTTTTTAGTGCTTTAGTGTGAATACATACATATTAATTCAACTATTGACAAAGTTGCAGCCACAAAATCCAAACAGATTTGCAAATATTTCACTTTGAGAACTTAAGGACACATCTGGGACGGGGTCAAATTGAGAAGATTGTGAGATATAAATACTGTTTCCATGGTAACCATATAAGTCAAGGATTGGAAATTTCTGGCACTGACTAACCATGGCATGCCCTACCCACTATAAAACGATGAATATCTGATATGCATTAGTATTATTTTTATTGGGTGGTATTAAAGTACCCCCAAGGTTTTGTTGGGGTAGGGGTATAAATTGGCCTGAGGGCCTTCTGCCACCCCTACATAAAGTCCAACTACCCAGAAAGTGTCTATTATAATCATACAAATTGTTTGAAATATGTTGGAATGTGTGACCTTCCATGAAAAGCGAGATCCATTTCTAGAGCACTTCTACAGAATAGTCCGCAGTCTATTAGGGGGAGGGGGTAAAGGCTTTTTAATAAGGGTGACGGACATTGGTATTAAGTTTCCCGGAGTTTTGTCGTAACACAGATATGTCTAATGAAAATTTGATATATGTTGATTAGCAGTAGCAGATATTGTATGCTTTGGTTGAACTTATACACTTCAGGCATTAATCAACATTTTGACTTTCTTCCACTTCAATCGCTTCTAGTGTACAAACAAATGTACATATAATCCTAGGCCAATGGATGCGTTTTTACTCATGAATGATTCTGGTAACCTGTACATTGTACAATTACATTTCTGAACGTCTCTGGTTGGACGTGTCGCCCAGAGTAATGTCTGGGTCACATTTGCTCCGATCCATCGGCCTGCGCCTGCCCGATTGAGTGTTTTGTTCATTATTATATTGTATTCAATTTTGAACAAAAATGTGACCAGGCATAAATGTTACAGATTGGACTAGTAAACACATGGCGCATAGTAGGATAATATAGTATATAATCGAACTGTATTGACGAGGATGAAGGGACCATACAATTTTTAGCTATAGTCCATTTTGTGGATGTGTTCTCGCAAAGATAAGCAATCGAGGGACCACTCTGGTATATAATATACATGAGAAAATATCAATATACAGTGGAAAATACAAAAATTATTTCAAAGACCAGACTTTTGTATACTTAAGTATTTTGGATATATGGTTTTGCAACAAATGTGTGGGCTTCGGATACTGATCATAATTACTCAGTTGCGAGTAGGTAGTTACCAGTTTCGCCACCAGGTGGCTGATTCGGGGGGATTAACGTGGCAGGGAATTACAAAATTCCCTTAAACTTGAAAAATGCATCAGTTTTAGTGGTACTTTTCATATTACCCTTATGTATCTGATAGTTTTACAAATTAAAATATGTCCAGTAAAAGAAAATATTATCTGCCCAACACAAGAAAAAATATTTCACTTTTTGTGGTTTTACAACAAGTGGTGGCTATGGGGAATCTCCCCGACCTAGAAGTCACATTTTCAGAGTAAATTAAATTTCCAGAGTTGATTAACTCTTTTCAAAACCACATTGCTAAATGCAATTTTTACATGTAGATTCCAAATGTGACATCGGTTTGACTGAATTGTGAATTTTTAATGACGTAAATCAAGGTTATTTCTACTCGCATCTGGGATATTGAAGCATGGCCTGCAAATGAGGCTTTAGTATTTCAATTACAAGGATTGCACTAACTAGGAGAATATATAAAAGCAAGGTCTCTAAAATATGAACGTGTTTCATTATGGTCCATCGATTGCTCGTAATACCAGAATCTTATTTTTTTCTCACTAAATAGATTCTACGTTCTGCCGACCTGTAGATCTTCACAAACAAGGAAAGCCTCTAGTACAGTCGTTTTTAATTGGATACGATGAGTTACAATATGAATTTCATATCCCGTTTCACCAGAAGATGTAAAGTTATCGCAATTGGAGTATTTCTCATTGGATTTAGTGTCATATTATTAAGGACCCGGGGACTGAAGATTACAATAAACGAAACAGTGGGTAGAATACGGACCGATGTATCCCATTTTAGAATAAACAGCATTGTCTCAGCTGACAGCTTCAAGAAAATGGCAACCATCATTGGTAAGTTTATTTTTTATGTCCTCTTACGTTTGAATACCGAAATCGAACTCCAAAGCTACACCACTATTAAACCAAGGATTAATACTTGGAGAGGATAATAGTATTGCTTATAATTTTTGATTTCATAATTATTTTTTCAAGTCTTTTAGAATGGGCAAGAACTGTCACTTTCGAGTGCTTCCTGCTTTAACTCGTCTTCAAACCTGATTGGCCAAGTAAATCTTATTGGTCGAAAGCTTCATGTTTGATTTCATCTTTAATTCTGATTGGTTGAGTCCTTCCTGCTTAAACTCATCTTTAAATCTGATTGGTTGAGTGTTTCATGCTTGAATTCATCTTGACGCATGTCTAGTCTAATTGGTCGAGTGCTTCCTGCTAAAACCCATCTTTAAATCTGATTGGTTGAGTGCTTCCTGCTTGAATTCATCTTTAAATCTGATTGGTTAAGTGCTTCCTGCTTAAACTCATCTTTAAAGTCTGATTGGTTGAGTGCTTCCTGCTTGAATTCATCTTTAAATCTGATTGGTTAAGTGCTTCCTGCTTAAACTCATCTTTAAAGTCTGATTGGTTGAGTGCTTTCTGCTTGAATTCATCTTTAAATCTGATTGGTCGAGTGCTTCCCGCTTGAATTCATCTTGACGCATGTCTAGTCTAATTGGTCGGGTGCTTCCTGCTAAACTCATCTTTAAACCTGATTGGTTGAGTGCTTCCTGCTTGAATTCATCTTGACGCATGCCTAGTCTAATTGGTCGAGTGCTTCCTGCTTGAATTCATCTTTAAATCTGATTGGTCGAGTGCTTCCTGCTTGAATTCATCTTTTAATCTGATTGGTCGAATGTTTCCTGCTTAAACTCATTTTTAAATCTGATTAATCGACTGCGAAACAGCTGTTTCCTGCTTTAACTCATCTTTGAATCTGCCAGGATTAGCTGAATCCTTCTTGCTTCAACTCAAATGATTGGTTGAGTGTTTAAGACTACTTTGAATCTTACTGTATATTTACAGATCCGTACTCGCGTTACACTACAACTGAGAAAACTTCTCAAGATAGCAAACATACACTATCCGCACAATTAAAATCACTTATAGAGACCAATAAAAATATCTACAGAAACGATTTGAAAGAGAAACAATTTAACTCGAAGGATGAACAAGAGTTAAATGAATCAATTGAACTTGAGAACAGTGATGATGCAGGGATATGTATGAGTATGATATCCGAAAGTAGAATACAACATGACGTCACGTACTTTGTGTTCCCATTCAGTTATGACCCACTGCCAATAGATGTCACTCTATTATCACATCTTACACTTAACAGGTTTGTTATAAAAGAATTGTTCGCTCTAACATAAGTAGTAACAAATAACGATATGATATAATATGACATGCCAGGCCCGTAGCCAGGGGGGGTTCGCAGGGTTCGGGCGAAAATTCTTTCAAAATCATGCAGTTTTTCACCATTTTGAGCACTTTTTAAGTGATTTTGGGCATATTTGGGCCAAAATTTTCAAATGTGAACCCCCCCCTGGAAAAAACTGACCCCCCCTTGGCAAATCCTGGCTACGGGCCTGCATGCTATGATACAATAGAAGGGCATGTGATTTTATTTGTTTCATTAAGTTCCGGAAGATTGGGTAAGATGTACATTTGAGGAATACTTTTAAATCAAATCATGTCAGAAACACTTTTAGTAAGTTTTTTGTTTCCTATCATTCATTAAAATCAATAGGATTTATACCTGTATACCCCCTTTATGGCAATGTAGAAATTATAGTTTCAAAGTAGGGAAAAGAAGATCCATATTTATCACATGTAACATCCATAATCTAACTTACATATTATGGATTTAGCAATTGCGTACTCGTTTCATTTTCAGAGGTGTGCGTAGAATCGAAAAGATTCTTGCACACTGGCCTGGTCCTGCAAGTGTATCTGTTATTGGAACTGATGACGAAGTTAAAAAATTCCTGAATACGATACACTCTTGGAAACGAAACAATGTTGGAATACACGTAGTGTATCAAAGAAATACAGTAAGTTCCACTTACCGATGAGCTAAATTGGCTCAGCCACGATGACTCTGCAATATATAGAGACAATGTCAGCTTAGTCACCAATGTCATCCTTAAGCTTATTGTAAAGAATTATTTATAAAAAGAATATATAGATGTACAAGGTGTCCATAACGTCGATTTACAATTACACTAAAAAGTGTGTGTTTATGAACACTCTGTAAAATTGCATTTTCAGAAGAATCATTTCTTTATCAATTTTCAAGTGTTATAGTTCAAGTTACCAAAGCCCATTAACTATACTGAGACCTACCTTTAAAATTAGGTCAAAAAGGCCCAGTTTGAGGTCCTGGTCCCATATCGTCCACGATAGTTAGGAATATGAATTCGTTAACAATCCTAACACATTTTCTGCATTTTTTTGTAGACACGTTACCCAGTTAACTTCATGAGAAATGTTGCTCTCTATGGCGCAAATACTTCCCATATTTGGATGGTTGATGCGGATTTTACTCCAAATAAGGATGCATATCAGCTTTTAAAGAAACACATCCCTCGGTTCGACTGGACAACAACTCGACCGGTATGCATATATGATGAAAGACGCAAAAATATAGTTTAATTAATAAGTCTACGAAACCAAATTCAATTAGCTGTATAGAAAAGTCGACTTTCACTTTTTTTGCCGACCCATCCATCCATCCGTCCGTCCGTAGAACGTTGATCCATTTGTCTATCAGGGCTATAACTCTGTCGATCATTTGGTTTAAGAGTGCATAATAATGGGCATTCAATATGGTCTAATTCAGGGAGAGAGAGCACGAAACGGAGGTGATTGGATTTTTATTGACATTCTATCCAACGAGAGCAAAAGACTCTTCTCGAGAATGAATCAACATGCTTTACGGTTAACAATACGAGTACAACGAAAAATTTATTATCATCTATTTTACTTAATACAATTCCAGGCTTTGGTTACAGCAGCATTAGAGACGAAATTGAATGTAGGGGGAGTGCCCGAGAATAAGACAAAACTGTTGGAGAAGTTGTGGGAAAATAATAGGACAATTGAGGCATTCGGGTAATGTGTGTGTGTAAAAATCATTTTAATGGATGCAAGTGTAGCGGTATTTGAATTAGAATGATTGACGGATAATATTTTGAGTTTCAAAGCAACATTTAATAAGAGAACATGTGGAATTTGCTCTTTCAAAATTTAGCAAAAAAATCAGAATGGGGCCATTTTAGACTGATTTCAGAGTTGAATAAATTAGAAAATTAGAAATGGCTTCAAGTCAATTTGGATCTTGCACATTTTGACAATTTGTTTATGTTACCTGAAACAATCTTTATGTAAAGTATAATCTGCAGAATCGTCACTGTGAGGCATCACGGCCTTCTTTCAATTCATTTCTTAGAAACCAGTTTCAAATAGTTTCAAATCATAACAATGCCACGAGCATCGGAAGTGAGAGAGTGATCAAAAATCTTGCATTTGCAGCTTAACCAGATGCCCTCATTGCCATGTTAACACAGACTGGCACAAGTTTATGACTGTCGCCGAAGTATACAAGGTAATATAAATAAGTGAGACTTTGAAGGTCTAGAGGGATCTAAAGTTTTCCATAAAATCCTGCATTACTTTACTAACTATCTGTTTCACGTATCTCTGTCATGCCCAGTTTTTAAAAATCTAAAACTTCATTGCTTTTCAAGGAAAAGTCAGAGAGACTAAAATTTATATAATCTTTCATTGATGAACTTATACACTGTGATAATCGTTATATATATAATTATTATAGATACAAGGAGGGGGATATTTTGAGCCTTATGTTGTTGTACAAAGAAAGACAAGCCCTGCTTATGATGAACGTTTGATAGCTAGGCATATGAACAAAATACTATATGATTACGAATTATATGTTTTGAAGTAAGTAACGTATACCTCATTTGAATATTTGTATCGTTTATTTTATTAGATTAGCGTCATCTTTGCCACCTTTATATGCATACTCTACACGTACATGATCATCAAGATCTACCATGTTTATCTTAATGGATTACCATTTACTCTAGTATAATGTAATCGTCGTTTTGACTGATTTGAAAATATGCACGTTTTTTGGCCCTACTTGTATGTACATGTATTTGTATTTTAAGGTATGAATTCTATGTGTTACCAGATGTATACATTGTTCATGAACCACACAAACGGATAAATCAACCAATGTCTGAATGGAAGTAAATGTTTTATCTATATATAACATTTTTATCATACAAACTACACAAATACATAGTACCCCACACACTAATTAGTTACAAAATTTAAAACTTGTTTTAAATCATGAAATTCCACATGGTCAAACTAGACACAATTTCCAACACTCAATTTCTTTTGATTTGCTTGAATTTTAATTTTCAAATGTTGATGGTCATTTAAGATGATACCAATTTCGCATTTTACACATTTTATGCTATATTTCTGTATATTTGGCTTCTTGTTAATTGTTGATCATGAGATGTACAAAAATTGAGAAATTGAAACACTTCAATAAACGTTAACATCCATAACTTTTTAACTAGTTTCAAATACATTACTGTCATATGAATTTTAATAACTGGTGGATAGCATTATGAGACAGTGGTTCATGTCTTTGTGTAGATTCATATATGTCTCACGGGGCATTGGAATTCATGGCGGTCATCTTTGTCATATGTTTCTCCTGTTTTTTACCACCTTGCCACTTACTTCCTACTACGCATCTACTGAAATCTTTACCAGTAGCCCTCTTTTGTACTATAGAATTCTTTAAAGGCGCACCGAGAAAATAGAACACCTTAAAATAGGTCTGTTTCGTTTGGAAATTAGGTCATGACACGCCTAATTTCCACCGCGGTGGAAATTAATTCCCACCGCGGAGGTGAAAATAGAATAAAAAATCTAATTCAAAAATCAAAAAAATTAATTCCAAAAAACGAAAATTCTTAATTCCGAAAAAAAATTCATGTCCCTTATAAATTGTCGTAATAAAGGGAAAGTGTTTCAAACAAGTTTTAAAGTTTGGGACTAATTAGTGTGGGGTACTATACTTGTTTATTACGTATATGTTCAAATACATGTAAGTACTCATGTACTTGTTTACTACATATACTATACAGATACATGTTATATACTATGATATAATAAATGATGGATGATCCTCCCTATTCGATGGCCTAGCTCGGGTTACTATTTTGATTAATTAAAACTTAACCCCAGTTTTTTTGCTCAGAACAGAAATTGGCAATCATATCATTTTAAAGCAGTTCAAGTCATAATCGCAATGTTTTTGATTTTAGTTTATTTTTCAGGTGTATGGAGAAAATTGCAAAGCAAATCTTCAGAGAGGTTGACAGGAAGAAATCATAGTACATCATGAAATGGCCAATGCTATCTCATTCAACTCGTAAGACTGTAAGACTAAATCATTACAATTATGTTGATGGAAATATAGGCACACAAGGGACTGTATAGGCTTGAATAAAAATGTCATTTAATGAGATTTAAGAAGGCATACTTAAAACACTGAGACTTCAAAAGTTTTATTTGGTGGAATATTTTAATTTCGTTGTATACATAGGTGCACGTATACACTTATTCCTGGGTCACATTTGCTCTGATTCATGGGCCGGCGCCAAGCCGATTGAGTATCCTGTTCACAATTGTATTCAGTTTTGAACAGAATACCCAATCGGCCGGGCGCTGGCCGATGAATTGGAGCAAATGTGACCCAGGCATTACAGACTTTCATATGTAGATATAAGTACTATTTTGTTTGTAATGTATTATCTTTAATATATTCTCAACCTATCAAAATATTCTGTCTGTACATTGAATTATTAAGAAAAAAACATGCGAGGTCCAGTGCGCGAATTAGACTAGCCTACTTAGAAACCGTCGTTAACATGGCGACAACTTAAAAGCACACCTATTCCTATTTTGAATTCTGAAGGATGTACTCGACGAAAATATACTTTTCGCGTTTCCACCCTCTGATCCTACTTTGGTATGAATAGTCCTTTCAGAAAGCGTAAGTCTATCATTTCAAAACCTGTGTGCATTTTAGAGACACGACAGGATGTCCCAAAAAAGGACACGGATTGATTTCTCAAAAAGGAATAATAAAAGGAAAATTTCACAGCTACCATCCGATAGGTTATGATGTCCCCTTTCTTATGATACCAACGTTGTTTATTTTCCTTCACGGTTGACTGAGATCAAAGGGATTTAAGTGATCATGCCAGAAATGGGTTTGTGCCACTTCTTAATGCTTCTTCTTCTTCTTAGTTTCAAATACATTACTGTCATATGAATTTTAATAACTGGTGGATAGCATTATGAGACAGTGGTTCATGTCTTTGTGTAGATTCATATATGTCTCACGGGGCATTGGAATTCATGGCGGTCATCTTTGTCATATGTTTCTCCTGTTTTTTACCACCTTGCCACTTACTTCCTACTACGCATCTACTGAAATCTTTACCAGTAGCTCTCTTTTTGTAGAATTCTTTAAAGGCGCACCGAGAAAATAAAAGAACACCTTAAATAGGACAACACGAATTTGTCTCGGTGTTCAGACATTGTTTTGTTATGGCCGTCTGTTTCGTCTGGAAATTAGGTCATGACACGCCTAATTTCCACCGCGGTGGAAATTAATTCCCACCGCGGTGGAAATTAATTCCCACCGCGGTGGAAATTAATTCCACCGAGGTGAAAATAGAATAAAAAAAATCTAATTCAAAAATCAAAAAAAATAATTAAAAAACGAAAATTCTTAATTCCGAAAAAAAATTCATGCCCCTTATAAAGCTTCGTAATAAAGGGAAAGTGTTTCAAACAAGTTTTAAAGTTTGGGACTAATTAGTGTGGGGTACTATACTTGTTTATTACGTATATGTTCAAATACATGTAAGTACTCATGTACTTGTTTACTACATATACTATACAGATACATGTTATATACTATGATATAATAAATGATGGATGATCCTCCCTATTCGATGGCCTAGCTCGGGTTACTATTTTGATTAATTAAAACTTAACCCCAGTTTTTTTGCTCAGAACAGAAATTGGCAATCATATCATTTTAAAGCAGTTCCAGTCATAATCGCAATGTTTTTGATTTTAGTTAATTTTTCAGGTGTATGGAGAAAATTGCAAAGCAAATCTTCAGAGAGGTTGACAGGAAGAAATCATAGTACATCATGAAATGGCCAATGCTATCTCATTCAACTCGTAAGACTGTAAGACTAAATCATTACAATTATGTTGATGGAAATATAGGCACACAAGGGACTGTATAGGCTTGAATAAAAATGTCATTTAATGAGATTTAAGAAGGCATACTTAAAACACTGAGACTTCAAAAGTTTTATTTGGTGGAATATTTTAATTTTGTTGTATACATAGGTGCACGTATACACTTATTCCTGGGTCACATTTGCTCTGATTCATGGGCCGGCGCCAAGCCGATTGAGTATCCTGTTCACAATTGTATTCAGTTTTGAACAGAATACCCAATCGGCCGGGCGCTGGCCGATGAATTGGAGCAAATGTGACCCAGGCATTACAGACTTTCATATGTAGATATAAGTACTATTTTGTTTGTAATGTATTATCTTTAATATATTCTCAACCTATCAAAATATTCTGTCTGTACATTGAATTATTAAGAAAAAAACATGCGAGGTCCAGTGCGCGAATTAGACTAGCCTACTTAGAAACCGTCGTTAACATGGCGACAACTTAAAAGCACACCTATTCCTATTTTGAATTCTGAAGGATGTACTCGACGAAAATATACTTTTCGCGTTTCCACCCTCTGATCCTACTTTGGTATGAATAGTCCTTTTAGAAAGCGTAAGTCTATCATTTCAAAACCTGTGTGCATTTTAGAGACACGACAGGATGTCCCAAAAAAGGACACGGATTGATTTCTCAAAAAGGAATAATAAAAGGAAAATTTCACAGCTACCATCCGATAGGTTATGATGTCCCCTTTCTTATGATACCAACGTTGTTTATTTTCCTTCACGGTTGACTGAGATCAAAGGGATTTAAGTGATCATGCCAGAAATGGGTTTGTGCCACTTCTTCTTTCATCAATGACTGAATAATGAGGGATTAAAATGGCTATACCAGGATGGTTTTTTGAGATTATCTCAAGGATATAGTCTATACAACATCACCAAGAATTGTTGATGATCTAAGGGCCAGGATTGTTGTAGCAGTGGAGGATCTAAGGGGACAGAGAGACATCATCGGGGATGCAGTTTGTGTGATGAGATCTAGGGAAGACATTTGCATTGAAAGGAATGGGGGTCATATTGAAGGACACTGGGGTTAAAACAACTTTGAAAGGACATTGGGATATAAAAGTGCTGTTAAATATGATATGTGTAGCTTTAATTGGAATAAATGAGTAAAAGAGTAATATCCTGATCTTTGTTGTTAATTATCACTATATAATGATGGTCAGTGAAATTGACTCGGCTGAAAGTGGTACAAACCAATTTCTGACATGGTCACTTAAATTCCTCATTGCTCAGTCATCTGTGGAAGAAGATAGAACATCTTTGTATCATATAATGAAAGACTCATGACACAAATGATGGTACCTGCGAGTTTTCCCTAACATTATTCATCTTTGAGAAATTAGCAATTTAACCTCGGTTTCCTTTTCTGGGACACCCTGTATATTGGTAAACTGGCAACTCAGTTTTTTACTGTACATATTGTTTAGGCCATGCTGACGGGTGGAGTGAGTGAGGTCGGAGTGCGAGGTTGAAGATATATTGTATACACATTTCTGCTTATATGCCATGTTCATCTTCTTTGTGTGGATAATATGCCCACTAGGATGTCATCCACCTTATCTGTATTTTTCACCAGATGTTTAAAATGAATGAAATGAAAAACACATTTCATTATTTTTCATTGGAAACTCAAATGTGTTATTTCAATCATGCATATTTCCTATTTCATTTCATTGTTTTTTGATAAGATTACATTTGTATAAATTATTGGATCCTCCTAGCTGTATTTTTCTCGATGTAAAAATTCTGATTGAAAGAGACCGGAATAAACGTTAGTAATTTATATCATCACCTTTTTTTAGCGTCTTCAATAAAAGATGTCAGTCAAATAGTATGATTTATTTGTTTACAGAATAGATAGATGTCAATCTAATAGTTTTATAACCTTGACCTTCAACTGATCCCTTGTGATCAACCTAAATACCAAGAATGGATCTCGTGAATTTGGCAGATAGTGATTTAAGAGTTTCTGGCGTTTGTATTGGTACGTGGCAGTTCAACGATGGAGTGGCTGACAATACATGGGATGGGCAGACCTATGAGGTATTTCCAAAACTGCAGTTTTACGATGAGCAGACTGCAGACTAAAACTGGCTGTTACAAATTCTCAGCAGTGACGATTCACTCTTTTGAACGGCGTTGTTAGTCTTGGAGAACCCTCCATTCTTCACCCCCCAAATGAATGCATGTATGCGCAGTACCGTTGGGTAGACTAGCCTATTAAGATCCGGTTATTTCGAACTTGCTTTTATACCCGCTGTAATATTTGCCTGTGCTTCGTTACCGATCACACGGTAGGCAATGCCGCGTGAAAGTTCAACAGGTAAACATACGTGTAGTCCCCGAAAGATATAACATATATTAAGAATAGATTAACTTGTTGGTAACTTGTTGAACGAGCTAGGCACCATGGTAATCTATCTATAGGCTATACGTATATAGCCTAGTCATGAATGATAGTACATCATGTCACTGCTTTCAGTAGGCTTGTCCAAAAGTGCGTCCCTGGGACGGATTGATTTTCCAAAATTGCGTCCCCCCTCAAAAAAGTGCGTCCCCATGAAAAAAGGTTCCCGGGAATTCAATGTAACATTTTTGCACTGAACGAAAAAAACTGATGAAACGTTTGCATCAGTTTTGTTATTTTGTGGCCCAGATCAGTGTTCTGCACACGTCTAGTAGGTCATTAAATGATGCAGATACCTTCATTTGAAAGAGGTTACTAATATTCGACCATTAAATACCATTTTTCTTCGCGTATTTCAAAGCAATTTGCTATGATTTTGATCGCTCAGAAAGTTTCATTAGGAGCAATCTCCGTGAGGTTCAATTCTTTGGTTCAGTTTTTTGCGCATGCGCAACAAATCCAGCAATTTGATTAGTCAAAATTATCAAGACGCATGCGCGATTAATAATCACGGCCAATCAAAGGACTCGTACCGATTACCGCTCGGAAATCAACTACTAGTGATTGTCCTATCACATACCTCATACTATATTGATCGGAAATCAACTTCCGGGAAAGAAAGTCCGAAAGATAATTTTATTTCTTTTAGAAATAGAATATCCTTTGTTTATTTAGCGGATTTTGACCAAATAAAAGACTGAAGGTAAGATCTTTATCAATCCATTCATCCAGAGATGATTTTTTGATATGACCTGCACTGCGTCCAAGTGACCCCTCATTTTCATTGTTTGGGGTCCCTATAATAAAAACCGGGTCCTCTCTAGTATGTATCCAACAGACTGACTAGAAGTCAGTCTGTTATGATGTACTACTTTCCTGTGGAAATTGCAGTGAAATTTTTTGCACAAAATTATCAATTAGAGGAACCATTTGTTCAATAAAATAAACATTACAAAATTTCAATTAAATAGTAAGGTACAATTAAATGCAATAAAAAGTAACACAGCATATTGTCAAGTGGAAATAAAGCTAGTTGAAGTAACAAATGTGCAAATTAATTTTACCCAATCGGCCATTTTGAATAGCACTTCCTATGTAAACAAATATTTAGGATTACCATACTTTAACATAGGTGCCTTATAGTCTGAATATAATTCAGACTAAATAGGATATAGTCTAGGGTCCTCTCCATTATGGGACGGCGTTAATGAAAGCACAGTGTCAGAGACATGTAAAACTGTTTTATAATATGTCTCTGATCATGTAACAATCTATTTAATTCTTCACTGAAGGCAGTTGTATTAATATATATAACTACATGAAGTGTACCGGGCTACAGGCCGGGGCTACAGGTAAAGTCAGTAAATATTTCAAAGTAACGATTTTAAATTTCAGGTGTCCAAGAGCATCGTTGACAGGGCGTTGGAACTAGGAATAAACTTCTTCGACACAGCTAAGGTACATTTTGCATAATTTTATAGTGATAAAGAACGACATGGTTAAATAACATTCTTGTCAAGTTAAACCCACGTTGTTGTTCTCGACGTCCGTTAAACATCCTTGGCAGTAAATAGGCCTTAAGCTTATAGGCACTGCTGACTTATGTTCTTGATATTCATTTTGTTTTCTAAATTCAAAACCGTTTTCTATTCTAGGCGTACAACAATTCCGAGAAGGTTTTGGGACGAATATTTGAAGGCAGACGAAAAGATGTTGTCCTAGCGACCAAGTTCCATGTTGCAGGTTTGGGCGAAGCAGAGGGTCTTTCACCAGAAGATGTAGAGAAAGCGTTGTTACAGAGTCTCCAAGATCTCAGAACAGACTATGTTGATATATACCAGGTATTTTGAATGACAATGCCATATCAGTGTCATATAATTGCTTTGTTTATCATTCTACAATCCATACACAACGGGCGTCGCCATTCTCCACTTTGAACTACATGTAAATCACAGTTTGCTCTTGTGGTGCGGGAAATGCATACACGTGAATCATACTTTGATGGACATATTTACTTATCCTAGAAATTATTAGTCCATCCTAACTTTTTATAAATACTATCATGACTATATGTAGCGTGATTTATTTTAAAATATTGACGTTTTAATTTTAAATTTAGGAAAGCGAAAGTTTGATGATCAAACTGCGAATGTAAAATTTAAACACTCGAAGTGATGCACACAAAATTGTAGTTATACAAAATATTGTACATATCCAGGTCCATTGGCCAAATGTTGTGAGGGATATGGGAGAGCTTGTGAAGGAATTGAAACGACAACAAGCCTTGGGAAGGATCAAATATTACAGTGTATGCAATTTTGGACCGCAAAATCTGAAAGAAATGTTAGCGGCTGGGGGACAGCCGTTAACTAATCAGGTACAGTGCCTAGACGTCTTTTATGTGTATCAAACACTTATCAGTCACATATCAACGACTGGTGTTGTGGCAGAGGTTGATTTATTTAGCCGGGATATTTAAATCATCACCCGAGAAGCCAAATAAATGCAAGTAAAGATGCTTTATCAACTTTATTTGTAATGTAGCTACCGTATAACTTACTGTGGCGTCCCATAGAATACGACATAGTGCCAATTTGCCAGCAAAACAACATCGATATTCTGCCTTACTCATCACTGCAACAGGGTTTGTTATCCGGAAAATACACCAAACCGAACGATGTACCAGAAGGCAGAAGACGGACACGTCATTTCAGTAAAGACAGGTATACTATATTATATCTTTTATTGACTCTTTAGATATCATATCATGACATATTAGTCACTAAGGTAGAGCAGTTCTTCCCATTGTCCAGTTGAAGAACTGGATCTTTATCCTGGCTAGAACCATAGACAATTCTAGCCAGCGCCAGCCTTTTATCGAGTTAGCAGCACTCTAGTAATCGCCGGATACTATTGTACGCTAGAAAATGGGCTACCTGTATTTGTGCCAAGGGATGCTCTCTTCGGTCTAGTAAAGACAGGTAGCTATTGTATGCTAGAAAATGCACTATTTGCGCCAAGGCGTGCTCTCTTCATTTTAGTAGGGAGACAGGTAGCTATTGTCTGCTAGAAAATGCACTAGTTGCGCCAATTAAAGACAGGTTTTATTATTGTATGTTAAAAATGCTCAAGTGACGCCAAGGCATGCTCTCTTCATTTAACACAGGTATACTATTCTATAATTGTATGATCAAAATGCACTATAGTTGCGCCAAGGCATGCCATCTCTTGATTCTATTTTAAAGACGTATTCATTGGTACACATCCTCTGAAATAGAGTATTAGTATTGAGAATTTAGAATCAAGTGCAAATTCAAAGATAACTGTCAGTTACATATATACAACATACGTTATAAATAAATCTGGTATGTTTTGTAAGCTCTTGTTGATGATGCAAACTTTGGTTCTGTTATTGATTGAATATGAGTTTTATCTTCGGATATGATGATGTACGATCTTGAGTACGCTCCCATTGTCTACATGTATTTCACTTTTTATATGTCTCTGCTTATATCCAAGAACTCCCACTGATAAGAGGGAATACATGTTACACTCACTGTATCGAATATTCAAACACTTTTCAGTACAACTATGTCGAGACATGGAGGACCAGGTGCCGAGGCTGAAACATTCCAGGTAAATAAATTCTCGAGAGTTTTTAATATTCAATCCAGCTGATGTATTAAGTTCAAGAGTTGCAAGGCTGGCCAATGGCGTCAAATATTCAAAATCTTGTTATACGAGGACATATCTACAAATTCTTATAAAATGTTTCCAATTCTCCATTTTTGATATTTGTTTAAAACTTTAATATTTAATATTGTTCCCTATATCTTTAAATATCGAGGCCAATCATCTCATCGTTAATTTAAAGATGTGGTCCTATTACTTGCCAAAACTCATGAAAATGAAACTTGGAACAGGTTTATTGTACGATCTTTATTCAATTTTACAGACTATTAGCAGAATCAGGGAGATATGTGATGAAATGGGTCTTTCTATGGCAGATACGTCGTTGTCATGGTTACTGGCTAAACCATGCGTGAGGAGTGTCATTGTGGGTGCAAGGACACCGGACCAAGTGAATCAAAACTGTAAAATCACAAAGTTGTCTCAGGTGAATGAATCTTTAATTCAACGAATATCTGAGCATTTGTATAAAGTATTACGAAAACATTAATTGCAATGTATATACAGGGTGTCCCGAAAATATGGCCCCCCTAGGCAGACATATACCAGTGTAGTCATAGTATGTGTCATATATCATTTTAAAGCTTATCCAAAGTTACATTGATTCGCCAAGTATCATGGTTCAACTCTCAAATGTGAAAAAATTACAGGCATTTTAAAATTTAGTGTTTGGTCAAAATTAAGTTCAATTTTACACCAAATCACTAGTCAATGTGTCCCGGGCCATCTTAACAGCAGCAATTCTTTTCGTGTCGGATGGATATTGAGTTGGAAAAAGAGAACGATGAGGGTAGGAACTCTAGGAAACTCTTTTTAAGTGCCTTAACATGTTTTAAGAGGGTTATAAAATTCCACACCCCTATTTGAAGGGCTTCTAAGGTCATATCTGAAAATAATTGTTGCTGTTAACATGGCTAAGGGGGACTCATTGACTAGGAATGTGGTGTAAAATTGAACTTTATTTTGACAAAACACTAACTTTTAAAATGACTGTAACTTTTTCCCATTTGGGAGTTAAACCCTGATACTTGGCAAATCAATGTAACTTTGGATAAGCTTTAAAATGATATATGACATATACTATGAGGACACTGGAATATGTCTACCTAGGCGGGGGGGGGGCATACTTTCGGGACTTAAATACCATAATGTAGCCACTATAACCTATAAGTATATTACATTGATTTTGATCAAAAAAGCTAAGTAAAAAGCTACAGTATAGTTAGTTACTTAACATTCCAACGTCGTAATGGAAAAGGTCATGCGTGTGAATAAGTGTGAATAAGATCGGGCAATCTTGTTTGAAGTTCCTGTTTAAGCCCTTAAAATCCTGAATAATTGATTACAGACCTTTGTACTTTCATAACAACGCAATGATATTTTATTTCAGGAAGTTGTCAAAAAGCTTGATGCGAGTACAGATGAGCTCAAGGCCATATTCGGGAACAATCCAGATATGTGGGCACCAAAAAGTCGAATGGCTTAAATTAAGCAATGCAGGACGCTTGGCCCTTATGCGCATGATCAGTATACACACATATATGTTCAGATCAGATTACATGTGCGCCAACCATTAGGCCAACCTCAGATAAAAGTGCAATCATATAATAAAACATGGTATACCAGTGATATGCCTTTAGTTGAACTTGTATTCTAAGCTTCCCAGAGGTATTAATACATTGTATACAATACTATATGTTATTGAATGATTTGAAGTGCAATACAGGATATATTGCGCTTGAGAAATTCTGTATTAACACACGAGACGAAATTGAGTGTCAATACAGAATATCGAGAGCACAGCTTATCAATCAAGTACCAATACAAGGCGAGGGACAATGTTAGTAGCAAAACAGATTGGTAGAGCACACAAACTGACCTATCAGAGGGCTTCATTTTACAGATCATACGATAAAATGAAATACAATATAATACAAAGGAGCGTCTCAGATTTGACACTATATCGCACTCAGTAAATTACTTTTTCACGCACATTGCATATTTGTTATTTGTATAATTCACAAATTGTAATTAAGTGTAATAACATTGTATTCAAAAAGCATAATTGTTATTAAACTGATTACTTTTCATTAATTATACATACACATACACAGACGCTAATATTCAATTTGAAATAAAATAAAAATAAATAAAAACAATATATTGGGTATTTTGGTTAAAATAATGATATACAAGATGAAATGATAGAATCTTATAATATCATTGTTAAAAACCATGATATTTATAGGATATCCTATGATTTTGAGGAATATCATTTTTATCTGAGGTGATATCGATATCTGCACGAGAAAGCGAAGCGAACGAGTGCATATATCAATATCACCGAGTAGATTAAAATGATATTCTGAAAAAAATCATAGGATGTTCTTATTATCCTACACTTACAAGGAGAGTACTGAATGTATAATATCATCGTAAAATGAATTTCATGCCAAGTAGAGTCAATTTGGCGGGAAATCAACAAGCGAAGTATATCGTCACAATATCCTCCGCATATTGGGTTTTCCGGAGTATATCGTCACGATATCCTCCGCCCGGAGTATATCGTTACAATATCCTCCGGATATTCATTTTGCCAATAAATATCAAATTTATTTTTTCATGGTATTATACATTTAGTACACTAAGTGTAGGAAAATTAGTACCATGGGTACTGGGCTCACATGGTGACAGAAAAAAACGGATATAATTTTTTGCTGATTTTTTGTAACAACATTATTTCAAGCTACTTGCCACTATTTTGGACTGACGGAGAGACAGATGGACAAATCGATGTTAAGTAAAATTGCTGAAAAAAACGGATATAATCTTTTTTCAATCATTTGGAACAAAATTATTTCATACAACTACTCTTTACAGTGACATGGCTTTTTGCAATGCAAGACACCTGAAATTATTTGTAAAACTAGGAAATGGGCCAAAATTGAATTTCGCAAGACAAAAATGACGACCATTTTGAAATCAGGCAAGCTTTTGAACCAGGAGTCAAAGGGGAGTTTTTTTGTATTGATGTTGAACAAAAATAACGTGAAACTGGAATCCTATCGACAGAGGTTTTAAGTAAATGGTCCAAAAGAGGATTTCGCGAGACAGATGAACAAATCAATGTTAACTAAAATGGCTTAAAATAAAAAAACAGATATAATATTTTGCCGATTTTTTGTAACAAAATTATTTCATACAACTACTCTTTACAGTGACATGGCTTTTTGCAATGCAAGACACCTGAAATTATTTGTAAAACTAGGAAATGGGCCAAAATTGAATTTCGCAAGACAAAAATGACGACCATTTTGAAATCAGGCAAGCTTTTGAACCAGGAGTCAAAGGGGAGTTTTTTTGTATTGATGTTGAACAAAAATAACGTGAAACTGGAATCCTATCGACAGAGGTTTTAAGTAAATGGTCCAAAAGAGGATTTCGCGAGACAGATGAACAAATCAATGTTAACTAAAATGGCTTAAAATAAAAAAACAGATATAATATTTTGCCGATTTTTTGTAACAAAATTATTTCATACAACTACTCTTTACAGTGACATGGCTTTTTACAATGCAGGACAGCTGAAATTATTTGTAAAGCTAGGAAATGGGCAAAAAGTGAATTTCGCGAAACAAGAATGGCGACCATTTTGAAAATAGGCGAGCTTTTGAACCAAGAGTCATAGGAGAGTTTTTTGTATTGATGTTGAACAAAATTAACTTAAAACGAGAATCCTATCGACAGAGGGTTTAAGGTAAATGGTCCAAAAGTGGATTTTGCGAGACAGATGGACAAATCAATGTTAACTAAAATGGCTGAAAATAAAAAAAATGGATATAATTTTTCGCTGATTTCTCGTAACAAAATTATTTCATACATCTTCTCTTTACATTGACATGGATTTTTACAATGTAGGACACTTGAAATTATTTGTAAAGCTAGGAAATGGGTCAAAAGTGAATTTCGCGAGACAAAAATGGCGGCCATTTTGAAAATAGGCGAGCTTTTGAACCAGGAGTCATAGGGGAGTTTTCTGTATTGATGTTGAACAGAAATAACTTAAAACAGGAATCCTATCGACAGAGGTTTTAAAACGTGCCACTGTTATTGACGAAAAGTGGATTTCGCGAGTCAGATAGACAAATCAATGTTAACTAAAATGGCTGAAAATAAAAAAATGCTTATAATTTTTCGCTGATTTTTTGTAACAATATTATAACATATATCTACCCTTTACATTGACATGGATTTTTACATTGTAAGACACCTCAAATTATTTGTAAAGCTAGGAAATGGGTCAAAAGTGAATTTCGCGAGACAAAAGTGACGGCCATTTTGAAAATAGGCGAGCTTTTGAACCAGGAGTCATAGGGGAGTTTTCTGTATTGATCTTGAACAGAAATAACTTAAAACAGGAATCCTATCGACAGAGGTTTTAAAACGTGCCACTATTGTTGACGGACGGACAGACGGACGGACAGACAGACGGACAAGTGAGTGATTGCAAAAGCTCACCATGTGAGCTAATAATGTCTAATATCAGAATATAGAGGATAATGTATGACCGTCCAGAAGCATGTGTACGTCAAAAATGACAAAATTAATTATATTTGCTTCTCTGAGCGTTTAAAAGGTTTGAAAAATAATACTTTTCAATATCTACGCATTCTAGATACATAATTATATACTTATTTTAGAACATCTATTGTTACAATCATATATTTTTCATATGATGTATATTATGACTGCGTGCTCTGCACCAGGAATAAATCCAACTAGATTTGAAAATGTGGATAAGACAGTCATAATCGATATTTTACTTTTTTCAAGATTATTCAAGAATATAATCGACGCTAGAATCTCGCAAATCTATCCCTCTTAAAACATCGAATGTGATATCTTGAAAGATAATTCATTTCTACTTATATGTATATCTATAGATGCCACTCAAGCAGTGAAGACCCAGATGATGTGATTGTATGTTTCGTACATTGTAAATTGTAACGAATTACACTAGAATGGCTTTATGAGGTTTAGAGGTTTAATATGGTATAAGTTCTGCATCGATGATTAGATATATGGCAGGTCTCACATTTTAGTGGTAATTTAGTGTAACACAATGAATATACCTTTCAAAATATTGACAAAGCAAAGTTTGTTTCAAGTACTTCGTGATAAGAACCTTCATTCTTTCTACTTTTTCTCATTTTTACCATGGGCTCGAAAGACCATGTCATCCTGACAAATATATGGAATTTTCTAATTGGAGATGAACTTTTCAACAATTGATACGAGACTTTTGAAGAAACGATCCCAACGCAAATGTTCCTCTTTCACGGATCCCCATGTATTCTCATATACGCCGTTCCTGTATTTGGATCGTTAATCCATCCATAATGAAGCAGACAGCGCATTGATATTAGTTGGATGTTTTTGAAACGAGCCGGAACTACTTCACGCCAATCCACCTACAACATTGATTTTCTGTAGGACTAGGAGTGAACCCCCAGACAGTAATTGTTTTTCATTGTCTTATTGTAAACTAGTTACTGATTCTCTCGAGGTTTGATTTCATTTTACAGATGCTTCTGCCTTTTGCCTTCCTGTGGCCTTCCTCTGTGAGAAATACCAGATGTTTGAAGATATACATTCAGTTAGTGGTTGCATCTCCCGGCTGCCCATTTAGTTCCCTTTTTGATATCAGGATTAACAGAAATCTGATGAGGTACATGTATTTGAAGGCATTGTTATAGTAATATCTACTGAACATACGTGCATGTAATACTCGGGGAGGGGATGAGGGGGGTGCACGTAACTTGCTTTAAATTGAACACCGTAAGGCGTAATTTTAGAAACTGCAAATCCTTAAAGGGTTTCAATATTATAAGCCACAAAGCTTCCATTTAAAGGTTATTTGGAAAAGTCAAAGGTCCTTAATTACATCATTTTGTACTTAGCTCAAAGAATACATGCTACAGGCATTAGGGATCTCGGGAAAACATTCTTTAATTATTCATTTTCAACCTCGGTTAAGTTGCCAAAGGCATAATGCTATTGAGACGCAGCTGGACCACGTTAGTAGTGTATGTTAAGGAGGCACGGGATTACTTTGCGGTGTCTAAAAATGCGATGCCAGAAATGAGATGCTGAGACTACTTTGCGGTGCCTAAAGTGAGATACCAGGAATGAGATGCCAGGGGTTAATAACATTTTTACTAATGATGAGATGCTTGCTTTTGTAGTAACCATAGTGATAACCTGAGGTTTGTGGTAGCTTCAATTTGAGACGCATAACGGTATCCTTATTTAATTGAAATGCTTTGTAGAGAGTCTTAACATTGAGATATCTCTGAGATACCTTTGTGAAACCTTAAAGCAGGGATAAGTCAGGGAATCTTAAAACTGCGACGTCATATTAAGAACTCATACAATTATTGAAATGAAACCTTAAAAACTGAGTTGGTTTGAGAGACTTTTCGGTGATATCTTAAAATTTAGGTACTTTCAAGATATCTTTGTATTATATCAAATACGATAAGACATTGGAAGGGTAAGTACATTATCAATCATTACATAATCATCCTTGCAAGACCTCAAGTTGTTGCTTCATTGAGATGCACTATGCATCCATGAACATTCAGCTTGTGTTCATGAAATACTTTGTGAAACACCTTTGTGCCACCTTAAAACTGAGCTTTTCAAAGCTTTAGACTTCG